AGTCAAGCATGGCATGCCCAGTCCCACCCGCCCTCCCACAACATAAGAAGCAAAGCTGGCACAACTGGGGGCCGAAGTCACACCGGCCAGCCGGTTTGGTACAGCTGATGCGGCCGCGATGGCGGTTGCCGACGGGAACTGGCGAGCGCGTGTTGAATGCCGCGCACGCATTGCCAGACGAGTCGAGAATGGCCCGGTACACCGCAGGAAGCCAGAGGTGGCCGGAGGAAGCCCGACGGTCTGACAGGACACCCCAAGGGGGCCCAGGAGGCCCCAAGAGGCAGGAGTAGTAGTACCAGTGGTAGTGGTGTTGGTAGTGGTAGTGGTAGTAGTAGTACCATGTCACCCCTTCGCGCGGGGTGTGCGCCGCGTCCCATTCCTGCCACGCATTTTGCGACGTGACGACAGCACGACCATGTTGACAAGAAAAACAAAACTGTGTATTGTCTTTTGCAGATTAGAATGGGACGGATTGGATGGGCGGGCGCGGGGTGTGCGCCGCGTCCCATTCCTGCCATGCATTTTGCGACGTGGACGACAGGACGTCCATGCGACGGTGCCAATGACGGCGACGACTCTAGAAGGATTTGAGCATGCGCTCGCGGCGACGCGCGCGCATGTCGCCCGCGTGGTATTTTTTGCACAGGATTCGCGGCCTGGGTGCATGACAGAGCATCGCGAGTGCACCGCGCGATGACGTGAAATCGCTGGATTTGACAGAATTCTTAAGATTCCTATGGTTTTCCTATGATTTCAGCAAGAGAGCCCGGGCAGGAAATTTGTAGAATTTTTGTGAAAAAGCATTGGGTTTTTGATGTTTTTATGTTGAAATGCTTGCAAACACACGGTGTTCGGTAGGATTCTGACATGAACGCGCGCGTGTGCTCTTTGTGGTATTTTTTGCAATGGATTATCGCCGTGGACGACAGGACGTCCATGTCGAGAGGAACAAATAAGAAAAATGTTGATTTTTATTGTTTTTTACAGGTTAGGATGGGACCACCCGGATGTGGCCCCTATCGGCCGGCCTGAGGGGGGAGTAGGAGTATATTCCAATAAGGAATAAGGATCAAGCTGGCCAGCTCGAGCGAGTCAAGCATGGCATGCCCAGTCCCACCCGCCCTCCCACAACATAAGAAGCAAAGCTGGCACAACTGGGGGCCGAAGTCACACCGGCCAGCCGGTTTGGTACAGCTGATGCGGCCGCGATGGCGGTTGCCGACGGGAACTGGCGAGCGCGTGTTGAACGCCGCGCACGCATTGCCAGACGAGTCGAGAATGGCCCGGTACACCGCAGGAAGCCAGAGGTGGCCGGAGGAAGCCCGACGGTCTGACAGGACACCCCAAAGCATTTTTGTGAAAATGGTTTGGGTTTTTGATGTTTTTATGTTGAAATGTTTGCAAACATACGGTGTTCGGTAGGATTCTGACATGAACGCGCGCGTGTGCTCTTTGTGGTATTTTTTGCACAGGATTCGCGGCCTGGGTGCATGACAAGGCATCGCGGGTGCACCGCGCGATGACGTGAAATCGCTGGATTTGACAGAATTCTTAAGATTCCTATGGTTTTCCTATGATTTCAGCAAGAGAGCCCGGGCAGGAAATTTGTACAATTTTTTGTGACAGAGCATTGGGTTTTTGATGTTTTTATGTTGAAATGCTTGCAAACATACGGTGTTCGGTAGGATTCTGACATGAACGCGCGCGTGTGCTCTTTGTGGTATTTTTTGCAATGGATTATCGCCGTGGACGACAGGACGTCCATGTCGAGAGGAAAAAATAAGAAAAAATGTTGATTTTGTATTGTTTTTTTACAGGTTAGGATGGGACCACCCGGATGCGCCCGCTATCTGCCGGCCTGAGGGGGGAGTAGGAGTATATTCTAATAAGGAATAAGGATAGGAGTAGGAGTAGGAGTAGGAGTAGGAGTAGGAGTAGGAGTCAAGCTAGCCAGCTCGAGCGAGTCAAGCATGGCATGCCCAGTCCCACCCGCCCTCCCACAACATAAGAAGCAAAGCTGGCACAACTGGGGGCCGAAGTCACACCGGCCAGCCGGTTTGGTACAGCTGATGCGGCCGCGATGGCGGTTGCCGACGGGAACTGGCGAGCGCGTGTTGAATGCCGCGCACGCATTGCCAGACGAGTCGAGAATGGCCCGGTACACCGCAGGAAGCCAGAGGTGGCCGGAGGAAACCCGACGGTCTGACAGGACACCCCAAAGCACTTTTGTGAAAAAGCATTGGGTTTTTGATGTTTTCATGTTGAAATGCTTGCAAACACGGTGCGTGGTAGGATTCTGACATGAACGCGCGAGTGCGCTCTTTGTGCTATTTTTTGCACAGGATTCGCGGCCTGGGTGCATGACAGAGCATCGCGAGTGCATCGCGCGATGACATGAAATCGCTGGATTTGACAGAATTCTTAAGATTCCCATGGTTTTCCCATGATTTCAGCGAGAGAGCCCGGGCGGGAAATTTGTACAATTTTTATGAAAAAGCATTTGGTTTTTGATGTTGTTATGTTGAAATGCTTGCAAACACACGGTGTTCGGTAGGATTCTGACATGACCGCGCGTGCGTTCTTTGTTGTATTTTTTTGCAATGGATTATCGCAGTGGACGACAGGACGTCCATGTCGAGAGGAAAAATAAGAAAAATGGTGATTTTGTTTTTTTTTTACAGGTTAGGATGGGACCGCCCGGATGCGGCCCCTATCTGCCGGCCTGAGGGGGGAGTAGGAGTATATTCTAATAAGAAATAAGGATAGGAGTAGGAGTAGGAGTAGGAGTCAAGCTAGCCAGCTCGAGCGAGTCAAGCATGGCATGCCCAGTCCCACCCGCCCTCCCACAACATAAGAAGCAAAGCTGGCACAACTGGGGGCCGAAGTCACACCGGCCAGCCGGTTTGGTACAGCTGATGCGGCCGCGATGGCGGTTGCCGACGGGAACTGGCGAGCGCGTGTTGAATGCCGCGCACGCATTGCCAGACGAGTCGAGAATGGCCCAGTACACCGCAGGAAGCCAGAGGTGGCCGGAGGAAGCCCGACGGTCTGACAGGACACCCGAAAGCACTTTTGTGAAAAAGCATTGGGTTTTTGATGTTTTTATGTTGAAATGCTTGCAAACACACGGTGTTCGGTAGGATTCTGACATGAACGCGCGAGTGTGCTCTTTGTGGTATTTTTTGCACAGGATTCGCGGCCTGGGTGCATGACAGAGCATCGCGAGTGCACCGCGCGATGACGTGAAATCGCTGGATTTGACAGAATTCTTAAGATTCCCATGGTTTTCCTATGATTTCAGCAAGAGAGCCCGGGCGGGAAATTTGTACAATTTTTGTGAAAAAGCATTGGTTTTTGATGTTTTTATGTTGAAATGCTTGCAAACACACGGTGTTCGGTAGGATTATGACATGAACGCGCGCGTGCGCTCTTTGTTGTATTTTTGCAATGGGTTATCGCCGTGGACGACAGGGCTTCCATGTCGAGAGGAAAAAATTTTTTTAAAAAAAAAATGTTGATGTTGTATTGTTTTTTACAGGATAGGATGGGACCACCCGGATGCGGCCCCTATCGGCCGGCCTGAGGGGGGAGTAGGAGTATATTCTAATAAGGAATAAGGATAGGAGTAGGAGTAGGAGTAGGAGTAGGAGTAGGAGTAGGAGTCAAGCTAGCCAGCTCGAGCGAGTCAAGCATGGCATGCCCAGTCCCACCCGCCCTCCCACAACATAAGAAGCAAAGCTGGCACAACTGGGGGCCGAAGTCACACCGGCCAGCCGGTTTGGTACAGCTGATGCGGCCGCGATGGCGGTTGCCGACGGGAATTGGCGAGCGCGTGTTGAATGCCGCGCACGCATTGCCAGACGAGTCGAGAATGGCCCGGTACACCGCAGGAAGCCAGAGGTGGCCGGAGGAAGCCCGACGGTCTGACAGGACACCCCAAAGCATTTTTGTGAAAAAGCATTTGGTTTTTGATGTTTTTATGTTGAAATGCTTGCAAACACACGGTGTTCGGTAGGATTCTGACATGAACGCGCGCGTGTGCTCTTTGTGGTATTTTTTGCAATGGATTATCGCCGTGGACGACAGGACGTCCATGTCGAGAGGAAAAAATAAGAAAAATGTTGATTTTGTATTGTTTTTTACAGGTTAGGATGGGACCACCCGGATGCGGCCCCTATCTGCCGGCCTGAGGGGGGAGTAGGAGTATATTCTAATAAGGAATAAGGATAGGAGTAGGAGTAGGAGTATAGGAGTAGGAGTAGGAGTAGGAGTACAGTAGTAGTAGTAGTAGTAGTAGTAGTAGTAGTAGTAGTAGTAGTAGTAGTAGTAGTAGTAGTAGTAGTAGTAGTGTAGTAGTGGTAGTAGTAGTAGTGGTAGTGGTAGTGGTAGTGGTAGTGGTAGTAGTAGTAGTAGTAGTAGTAGTAGTAGTAGTAGTAGTAGCAGCAGCAGCAGCAGTAGTAGTAGTAGTAGTAGTAGCAGCAGCAGTAGTAGTAGTAGTAGTAGTAGTAGTGGTCGTCGACGTCGCGGCAATTGTACTCGTAAGGTGAAGGGTATTTGCTGTGCGGGGCGCGACGTGAGGAAATGATATTGGAGGAGGACGAGGAGGATGGATGAGGCGGGGTCAGGAGGATACTGCGGGCTTGGCCTCTGACGGAACGCCCACATACCCCGTCAATCTCTTTCTCTCTCTCTCTTTTTCTCTCTCTCTCTCTATATATGTGTGTGGGGAAGGAAGGATGAGTGAGGACGGGAAGGATTGAGGATATGAGGTTGAGGAAGAACAATGGTTAGCGAGGAGGAGTAAGATAGATAGTCATGGAGTAGCGTGGGCAGGATGGGGCGGGAGGAGGAATAAATAGAAGGAGGGCGAGGATGACAATGGTTCTCCTCATCCTACCCTGCTCCCCCAGCTCCCCGCCTCCTACCCGCCCTCCTGTTCCTCCTCGTCCTCCTCTTCGTCCTTCTCGTCCTCTTGTGCCCCCCTGCGGCCCCTGCGCCAGGCGAGATGACACAGAAGAGCGTGCCGGACAGGCTCTCGCCCCCCCCCCCCGCCCAGCCCGGCGGCGGGCGCCGCGGGCGTGCGGCCCGCTGGGGCCATATCCGGCACGCGGGTACCGCCGGGACGGCTGGGATCCCAACGAGGGAGGGAGGTGAGACGTTCTTTACCCTGCTCCGAGTCATGGCCCGAAAACCACGGGGTAACGTTTGGGTGGATGCATTAGCCCCCGATCGCCCATTGATCGCCGATATAGTGGCCTGATAGCCCCACCGTGACCTGGAGCGTGCGGATTTGCTACCGTGGGCCTATCGCCGATCTGTCTGCGATGTATCGCCGACTCCAGGCCGTTGTTTCCTTTTTGAACCAGTCCCCCTCTCTCATCGTCCCCGCTAGCAGTCGACTTCGGGCGTTAAACCCGATAGGCCGAGGTACATCTGCACTGGTCGAGACATATCTAGAGATGTCCAGACACATGTCTGGAAAAGTCTTGGAAGCTCCAGCGCAGGTCACAGCTGAAGCCATGGAGTCTCCGACGAAGCCGACTGCCCCCTCGGGCCCCCCGGCCCCGCGCCCTGGGGCGGGTAGTGCAGGCGGTGCGGATGGGCCCCTCGCGGGCGCGATGCCCTCTTCTGGCCGCGGAGGCGGAGCGCGTCGGGGAGTGCCAGTTCGAGCACACGGGGCTCTCCCCCCACCTTCCCCCCCACGCCCAGAGCATTCGAGGAGGCGTCAAGAAACAAGGGACAACGACGGGGGGGGGGGGCGGAGGGCTGGCCCATGGGGGAATGCGTCGACCAGCAGTCGTCAAGGAAGCGCCAACGTGGATTAAGGCGCGTGGAGCAGTGCCGGTTTACGACTCCGTAGATGATCGGCACGCTCCGTCGCCAATTCAGGCGGCATTGGCCATATGTTTCAGGGGGGACCTTCCCTGATGCCTGGATCCACGGATCCTTGATCCATATTGGCGCGCGCGCCCGACACTCGGGGCCCGGGTGCCCCAAGCTGCCCAGGAGCGTGAGATTTCGCGGTCGAGGGTCCTTTGCCGACCCATCGGCGATGCATCGCCGATTCCACACGAGTCAGTGTCTCCCCCCCCGAGCCAGTCTCCCCCTCTTGTTGGTATCGGTTAACCGATCCCCATCCCCATCCCCTTCCCCTTCCCCTTCGAGGACCCCACCAAATTGCCCCCCCAGTTGGGGATACGCCCCTCGAAACCCGAAGGGAACGGCCTGTATCCCCATATCTAGGGGAGGTAAATCGGTCTGTGGGGCCCACGCCACGCCGCTGGGGCTGGTGACGGGTCAAACGATACTCGTCTCGTTCTCCCTCGGTCGCGGGGTGGGCCGCGGGCGGCGGTCGGCTCGCGGGCGCCCGGGGCGGGGAGCGTGGGAGGCCACCGCCGGTCGCTGCAGGCGAGGAAGCTGGTCGGGAGCCTCGAGATCGACGGGGGTCAGTGCAAGCGGGGGTCAGCCAGAGCGCCGGATCTCGCAGGATCCTGCAGGACCAGGGTCGCACTGACCCGGAGCTTTGGGTGCAGGATCCTGCAGGATCTCGCGGGATCTCTCGCGTTTACCCGGGTTTGGGCGCAGGATCTTGCAGGATCTTGCAGGGCCTGACTGACCCGGGTCTGGATCGACCCGGGTCCGGAGATCCACGAAGCTGGAGTGCTGAGGAGAGCGGGTCTTGTAGATCGGGCGGGTGGCAGTGGGGGGGGGGTACCTGAACTGTGGTGTGTAGAAGCGGGCCCTCCAGGGCCTGTTCTTCAACCCCCATGGCCCATGGAAGGTCACCCCCCATGACCGCCCGCCTCATTGGAGGGACCAGTCTGTCCTCCCGAGCCGGTTTTGGAGGGCCGCGTGGCCCCGGGGAGGGCCCCGGGAGCCTGGAGAGCGGCCGGCCCAGCATCTCCATGAGCGCGCTGTTCTATACCACGGCAGACATGCTTGCACGCGCTTTTCCGCCGTCGCTGCTTGGGCCGAACATACGTACAAGTAACGTTCTCACACCGTCCATTTCCATAGGTCCATAGGATCACACAACAACGAAAGACAAACATGCTGTAATCACATGTATGAATCAAGCCGCGGTGCCCGTCACGAGTCTCAAACGCTGTTAGCGTTAAGCCCCCTCCAGCGGTTGTGCGCGGACTCGCCGCGTGGTGGGCTGAGGACCAAGAATCGAAGCTCCATGGGCATCGCCTGGACATCGTTTCCGGACGGGGTGATGGGGACGCGGGAAATTTGAAAAATATGGATGATGGATCCGGCGGCGATGGGGCCAAAACACGTTGACGAGCCCGTGTAAAATTCCGTACCCGACCGTGAAGGACACCAAGAGGAACAGATGCCAAAAGCAAAAACACATCGACAACCAAAAGAACGCCGACCACAAAACATAGGCCGGGTGCAACAACAATTTCGGAAACGCCGTTCGCACTCTCAATTCGTGGGGAATGTTGACCATGGGTCGAATTTGTCACGCGGTTTGGTCGGGCGAGTTGCTCTCGCGCATTCCGCGCGCTCACAAGGCTCGAGCCCGCGCCAGGATTCCGCGCGCGAACTGATGCCTTCGCGCGCGCGTGGCGCGCGGCGGGATTGGTGCGCGCTGAATGTGCGCGCACGCCGTTGCCATCGCACGCGCCTGCGCTGCTGGCGAAGCGCGAGGCGCGCGTGCGCGGGCCAGTCGCGCGAGCGTGATCCCACCCGAGCCTGTGCCGGAGGCGTGCGACGAGCCTGGCGCGCGCCGCTGGCACGCGCGCTGGGGGATGACGCGCGCGCGCAAGAAAGTAGTCGGTGATTCACCAGGAACAGCGCGTAGTCCATCCGCGTTGCACACGGCGCGAGACGAGCGTCAACGCGAGAGCCATGCTTATGTGCTGGCGGTGGCGTGAAAGTTACATTCGCAGATTGCCCAGCGCATGTCGGCACGCTTCAGGGGATGATTCGTTCTTGAAGCAAGCTCTTTTTTTGTCAAGCGATTTGTTTGTAGATCCTGTCCTAGATTCTGTTCGGCTTGGGTGATGTGCGGACTCCGTTCGGGGACTGGCCAAAGAGTCCCGCCCCCTCCATGCAAGAATGCTCGGGGAGAGCCCCGAGGTCTTCCACGCCCGTTTCTGGCAGGACCCGCTTCTTTCATGGCATACTCGCACTCAGCAAGGGGTCCGCGCGGATTCTTTGGATTGGCGCTGGCCCCACCCCTGGCAGCCTCGCGGGGAGAGGGGCGTCCAGCGCCGACCGGTTGAAGTTGTGCGGGCCACAGAGACACACACAGACACACACACAGAGACAAAATCTGAGCAAATCATGCTTGTTTATTGTGTGATTTGTTTGCCCAGCCAGTGACATCCTGGTCCCAGGCCTTGGCAGGCATGGTGTATACGGTATACGCCCTTCCTGACTCGGTCAAGCCGTGGAAGCCGGGATGGCCTTGGCCAGGCAGCCAGACTCCCGATGTCACGATTTCTGTATGACGTCGGCACCCGGAAGTCTGGACCTATACCCGGGGAGCAGTTTTTCGCCCCGAGTTGTCTTTTGACGGTCCTGGGGCCCGAGGGCCCTCGGGGGCCGACAGTGGCGAAGAGCAAATGATTTTCTCATGGGTCGAAGGGGTTTGGGCCGGGAGGTGGTATGCAGATGCCTTCCGCGGACTCGTGCGACCCGAGCCGCCGGCCGCCCGGCTCCCAGCGCTGGCAGCGCCCAGCGAACGTGTCGCGTTCGGCCAGTGTTTCGAGAGGCAGCGCAGTCGGTAGCGCTTTTGCTGCCTGCGATGCTGTGGTCTCCCAGGGTCACGAGGCGAGGAGGTCATGGGCGCCGCCGCGCGGCGACGCCGCAAAGCCTTCCCAGCGCAGCCACCGCCCGCCCCCCCCCCCCGACTGCCAGGGGCGGCAGGGGCTTTGGCAAGCCCCCGGGCGCCTGCGCTCCGGACGGGGGGGGGGCGCGCACAGCGGGGGTGAGGGAAGAAGGGAGAAAATCGAGGGGAATGGGAGTGAGGGAGGGGAGAACGGGGAGGAAAGGAGGAGGAGGAGGAGGAGGAGGAGGAAGAGAAGGTGGAGGAGGAGGAGGAGGAGGAGGAGGAGGAGGAGGACAAAAGGAGGAGGGAGGCGGAGAGACCCTCCTCGAAAATGGGTCCGCGGGGGCCTTGGGGGCGGTGGACAAGGAGCAGATGGCGCCCGGGTGGAATCAGGCGCGTCGAGCGCGGGCCCGATAGACGTCGATGCGGCGAAGAGTCTGGAGCTTGATTGGTTTGAGAATTTCTGGGTCTTTGCGGGCGTGCCTCGAGCGCAGGTTCTCGCCGATCACGGGCGATGTGGGCGGGAGCTAAAGATGATTTGCTGGGAGATCCAGGAGCTTACGTATGGGGTCTGGTCGGAGCCAGGTTTATGGGCCGCGAGTTTGCCGATGCAGCAGAAGTCGACTCCTTCGCGCCAGCGTCGTCTTCTGCGACATCGCAGGTGATCGACGCGTGCGCATTGGCGGACAACTTGGCGACTTTCGCTGGCGATGCACGTCGCAGGTTTGGGTCGGGAGCTGGCCCGGCCAGTGGCTGCCAGTTGGTCCTGTGCGAGTTGGCGCCCGTGCGTTTGAAGGCGAGGGGCCCTTCTGCAGCTGCCGTCACGGAGATTGAGGATTCGTTCAAGTGCATGCGTAAGAACGTTCTGCACAAGCCGTCTGGTTTGCATCTTACTGGACGCGCCAGTGCCCGCTTGTTCGCGAGGGGGGTCGCGGCGCGCGGCGCTATAATTCGTTCAGCGAGGACACGTCGTATGGCAGTGCGATCCACTCAGGGCAATGTCAAGCGCTTCGGCAATGGGGATGCACCAATAGTTCGCTCATGCGTTGTGGTTGCACTTTATCTGAGCTCGAGTCGACCAGATATTCCTTGTTGCATCAAGGAGCTGGGAAGATTACAATCGCGCCCCTGCGCGGGGGCAATGTATTGATTGAAGCGGCTGGCGAGGTACGTGCCTGCGGGGGGGCCATCGACTACGCCCTACGCTTACGAATGCGCGCGGCAGCAACTGGGCAGGCTGCAAGCGAACGAGGACATGAACCAGGGAGATCATCATCTGGGTTGGCCTTTTGATGCCCACGGCTCAGCGCAAGGTTCAGGGCGCTCGCGCACTCAACATTCAGCAGCGGAGTGACTGACCGGCAAGCGGCCACATCCGGAGCTGCGGAGGGTCTTTGCATCATGGGATCGCTGACCTATCTCGGCTTGAAGCTGGAGGCAAATATCTTTTCGTACAGGACGGCGGCTCGAGGTGTTGCGGCACTTCCTGCAGAGTGTGTTGTTGCCAGGCTGTGCCGCTGCCGCTCGCCTGTCGCACCCGCCCTCTTCCTTGGTTGCAGACGCCGTCAGGAGATCATTCCGGGCTGGGCCAGGGCCGAATTCCACGTCCTCGCGCTGTTGTTTTGTTGCCGCCTCCTCCTCTTCCTCCACCGCGCTGTCGCTTTGATCGCGTTGCCGCGCTGGCAATATCCCTGCCGTGTCTTCATTTGGGCTTATTTTGAGTTGGGGCAGAGCCGCCATTGATCTCTTCTCTGGTTCTTCTTCTGTAACCACTCCGCTCGTACTCCTCGTCGGCCTCTTCCCCCCTCTTGGCGAAGGGGGGCCCCTGCTCTCTGAGCAAGAGCTGGTCAGTCCGTCGCGCTCTATCGCGGGTGCGCGTGGCGCAAGGTTGGCGCCCCGAGAATAATGTTCAACATGAGGGAGGAAGGGCGGGGATGGAGGAGGGGGAAGAGCAGGAAAAGCGAACATGAACCGTTTTCCTAACGAGAGGGGGGGAGGATTGCCCGCGATGAGCTTTGGACGGCTTGGACAAGGGGCATGTTGTTTCCTTTTGACGAAAAGAAGGCAAACACGGATTCGAGCACGTGGGTTAGCGACGGGCTCCGTGCCCGTGTGTAGTCGAAGCGATCCGTCGCCAGATCATGTTTTAGTGGCCGCATGTTTCGTGGGGTGCTTTCCCGATCCGTGGATCTGGCGCCCACGTCAGCGCGTGCCAGCTGGTCGCATTTGCCTGATTTGTTGTGCCGCGTGGCGCGTCCTCGGGCCTCTTCGACGCTCCTCGTGGTCGGCCACGCCTCCGGGACACCCCCAGGCTCCCCCGACGTCCCGTTTTGGCCCCTGGAGTCCTCGGTGGGTCGGGCGGCCCCTGGAGCGCGTCCTAAAATTCGGGTTCACAGGTGGGCCGCAAAGTGTGACGTCCCGGTCTCCCCTCCGCTGCTCTTCCACGCATGTGCGCGCGCCAGCCCGCTGCCGTGTTTTGGGTGCACGGAGCGGCCTCGCAACTTTGGTGTCTTGCCAATGAGGGAGAGGGATGGGGGCAGGAGCTAACGATGTCGGAACGGCCTTCCGTCGACCTTGGGCAGCACCCCCTTCTCGCTGTCGGTGCAAGTTGGCGTCCTTCTCCCCCCACCCTTCCCTCCGCTCCTCCCCCCTGCCTGGGCGGAGCGGGGGAGCTGAGAGCGGGAAAGAGGGAGGAGGGGGAAATGGGAAGGGGGATGATGATGATTAGGAGAAGGAGGCGGATCAGTGTAAACCCAAGACACATCCAAGATGTCGCAGTACCGTCCCTCGAAGTTCCCTCTTCGACAGGTGCCTGACAGAAGTCATGGTCGTTGTGAGAAGTGGCCCGTCCGCAGACAACCGACCTGAGAATCTTCCACCGTTCCAAGAACCTTTCCTGGGACTTCAACGCCGCGGATCCGCACGACTTGTTGCGTCCTGGCAGGCCTACATCGCACAAGAGTGTCATTTCTGGGACTCCAACAGCTACGAATCAACGTGACTGTTGCGTCCTGACAGCCGTAAATCGTCACCGCAAACCATTATTGGAGCCTCGCCCATAAGAACCCTGCCAACTGATGCAAGCTTCAACACAACTTCGAAAAGGGACAGTCTTCCATCCTTGAATCCTCTGCTTGCTTTTAGGACGAATGTGCAGGGTGTTAAGGCGAAGGCCAAATTCTGAAAACCGCCAGCTGTTTTGCACAGGTCAGACGACAAGGCGAGAGCCACATCTTGAAAAAGACAGCCTCCGTCCGTGAAGTTGTTGCAGACGAGCATCCGCGGCGCACAGGTCAGAGCCACATTTTGAAAACCAACCGCCTTCCATCTGCGTAAACTGCTTGAAGCTTTTGAGATGTATGCGCGCGGTGCTAACGCGAGGGCCACATTTTGAAAACCACCTGCCCTCCATCGGTGCAACTGTTGCGAAGTCCAAGTTTCAGGATCATACGTGGCGAAGAAGTCTCAAGCGGATCGCCCAGCTCGCCCTACGGACACGTCTGGGGGTGTGACAGGGGAGAGTTTGCATCAGGAAAAAAGGATGCCGGAGGAGGAGAAGGAGGAGGAGGAGGAGGAGGACGACGACGACGAGGAGAAACAAGAGGGGGGAATGAGGAGGAAGGAGGAAGACCGCGGAGAGGGAGCCGAGCAGGAGAGAGGGAGGGAGAGGAGAGAGGGGAAGCTGCGGCAGGAGCTGGGTTGGGCTGTCATCTGCGTCTTCGCCACTCTCTTCTCCTCCCCGTCCGTTCCCCCCTTATCTCCCTCCCGGAATCCTAGAGCTCGTGCGGTTTGTGAGTTCTTGGCAGGCACTAGAGAGCGTCGGCCAGTTCGGATTCTCCGGCTTGCTGTCTGTGTGTGTGTGTGTGAAAGGGAGGGGAGGAAAGACCAGAGGGGAGGATCGGGCGAGCGGCCAGGACACGCAGAAGCGCATGCAGGCAAGCGCGGCCAAGAAGGCTCCCCCGTGCTCTCTGCACGCTCGTGCACTCCTCCAGCGGCGGGCGGGCGAGGAGCAATGACAGTATGATGTTTTCGGTCAGGGTGTCGGGGGAGTCCCTCCTCCTCCCCATCCTCCCCCTTGTTTTGTTCAACTTCCCTCCTCTCGACGTCCTCCCTCTCCCCTCTTCCTTCTCCTTCGGACGGTGGGGGAGGAGACGGGCAGGAGGGAGCAGAAGATGAGAAAACGTGGGATCGAGGTTCAAGTTGATTTTGTATGTCTGGGGACCTTTGCGGTTATGCGCAACCCTCTTGTGTTGGTATTTCGTTTTGAACACAGCGCTTTGGTCGCGTGTCCTCCCGCCTCCCTCCTGCCGCCTGTCTCCTGCTTCCTGGGTTCTCGCTTTGACTGCCTCCCCCCCCCCCTCCTGGCTCATCCTTCCCCTCCTGGCTCCTGCTTCCTGCCTCCTGAGAGGTCCAGCGGAGTGGGGGGACACGCAGACACTGCCTTCCTCTTTTCCTCCTCTCCTCTCCTGCGTCCACTTCCGCGGGCTCCTGGGAGGTCGCGCGGAGTGCAGCGGTACGGGGACCCAGTTGAGACTTCGCGGCTCCCTGGGGGGGGGGTGCGAAGCGTGGAATGTGTCGTCATGCTCGTGGGGTCCTGGGCGGGCGCTCGGAGTGGAGTGGCGCGGGGACGCAGTTGAGAGCTCGCGGCTCCCTGGGGGGCTGCGGAGTGTGAATATGTCGCCACGTTCGTGGGCTCCTGGGAGGTCGAGGTGAGGGTAACAAGAGACCACGTGGAGAGCTCGCGGCTCCCTCGGGTGGCGGCGGAGTGTGAAACTGTCGCCACGTTCGCGGTCTCTTGGGAGGTCGCATGGAGCGGAGTGGTTCGGGGGCCCAGTTGAGAGTTGGCGGTTTCTTGGGGGGGGGTGCGAAGTGTGAACATGTCGCCATGTTCGCGGGTTCCTGGGAGGTTTAGCGGAGTGTTGGTTTTGTGTGTTTTGGGAGCTCATGCGCCTTGCGAGTCCTTCAGGTTGTTTTTAGTGTGCGGTCCGAAAGTGTAATCGACACGTGTTTAGAAAGGGTTGGGTACAACACCAGGTAATTTCGGTTCTTCTGGAGGCGTCTGGAGTGGTGGAGGACCTCGAGAGTCCAGAGACCGCGGAATACCCTCGGGTGGCAGAAAAGAGCAAGAGGACGAGAGTCAGAGGGGGGAGAGAGAGGGGTAGGGGGAAGGAGGTGGAGGGCAGGGAAGGATGGGGAGGGGGAGGGAGGGAGGGGTGGGAGGGACAGGGATGGAGGGAGGGGGAAGTGTGAAGGGAACGGGGGGGGGAGTACGCTCCGCCCTCCTCCCCCTGGCCGTCCCCCTCCCAGAACAAGGGAGCCAGGGAAGAGAACGAGAGGGGAGGAGGGAGAACTAGGCACACGCCTCCAGAGACTTCGTGAGTCCTAGAAAAGGCCAGCATTTTTTACGCGGGGGTCGTCATAGCTGCATCAGTTTTCTAGCGCGTCTTTGTCTGAGCGGTTGGGTAGAAGTGAATTCAAGTGTGAGTGAGTCTAAATGCGAGTGGTTAGGTACCCACTGGTCGTTGAAGGGTTTTGTTTCTTAACCCTGATAGTCAAAGCTATTTGGGGCGCCTTCATCTGTCAATGGTCGCGAGGTGTTCCCTCGGTTTTCGTTTTCAAGTGGACGGGCGGAGATCCAATATACTTCCATCACCGTCCTACTTCATGTTTTTATCTTCTCCTCCCGGCCGATGGGTACGAGTCGGTGTACGAATCAACGCCTGGACGTCAATGAGTCTGGGTGCGAGCGATCCTGCGTATGCGTGGCTGAATACCATTGGCTCTGGAGATGAGTGGGCCTGAATGTGAAAGGGTCGTAGTATGAGAGAACCTGGTCATCCGTGAGGAATGTCCCAACAATCTTGGCGCGAAGTGGAACGTAAGACGTTGTGGGACTCACCGTTGGGAGCCCCACGTGCAATGCCTGTTACAATGCGGTGGTCCTGGGGCTCTTGACAGAGACTCGCCTACTGTGCCAAAGCAGACATTTCGCCCGAGGGATCCACGGAATCTTTGGCGAACAGGCCGTAAACACCGTTGGCGGAGCCCCCACCTCTTTCGGTGGCTCAAGTGCCAGGATTGTTTACCGAGGTGGTCATGGGGCTCTGGGAAGGCCTTCGTCGACTGGGCTACAACAGACGTTCTGTCCGCAAGCCCCCCGCCCCGCGCAATGTGAGCGCGCACGGTCTGCAATTACACACTTGCTTCATCTCGGTGATCATGGGGCTCTGGTCAAGATACGCGTCCACTGGCCCATACAGGCGTGTCGCCTGAGTGGTCGGCGCAATCTGGGCACGAACGGGCCTGAGAATCACCTGCGGTCGGCACCCCCATGTTTCGTGCATTGTGATCATGTGGCTTTGAGGAAAGTCTCGTCGACGGGATCACAACAGACGTTTCGCCCGAGAGCCCTACCCCCGCAGTCCGCAACGGGCCAGTGATACATGTCTGGTTGACACCCGTTGGAGGTCAATTGCCATGAGTGCTACACCGTGGTGATGATGGGGCTCTGGGCAGAGACTTGCCTATTGTTCCGAAGCAAGCGTTTCGCTTCAACCGCCGTCTGCACAATCTGTGCCACGAGCGGGCCCGTGAATCACTCTCTGCCGACACCACCTCAGGTATATACCCATCGCGGTAATGATTGGGCTCGGGCGAGAGGTTCTCCAGCTACGCCACGCAGCCTTATTCGCCCGAGAGCCCTCCCTGCAATCTGGGCGCGAACGGGCACATGAAACGCCCCTGGCCGACAACCCCTTGGGTAGCTCAAGTGCTATGCTTGCTGCAACGCGCTCATCATGAGGCTCTGGGCAGAGATTCGTCTATTGTGCCAAATCAGGCGTTTAGCCCCAGAGAACTTTCACTCCCACTGTCGCCACCCCTGCACCCTTGGCCCCCCAAGATCACTCGAATGAGAAGCATTGTGATCACGTAATCTGGCGAGGGTCCCCGCAGTTTCCCTAAATCGGCGCTGCATCGGTCCAGCGCCGATCCATGAAATCCGCGCGGACCTTCGACAGGATGTGTTTATGCAGCTGTTTGCTCTCATGTCCATATCCGACCGGTCTCTATGGGCGCTTGACCAAAGCATCGCCGATTCAAGACACCCGCGCGGACCTTCGACTGTTCATGCCTACGCCGTTCTCCTACCGTAACGTCCGATGTATCCCCGTCCGCACGTTTCTTTGTCCAGCCTTCGCGCTTCAGATGTCATGGGCAAGGTGATGGGGCATAGGCTCAGGGGGGAACGCATCGACACTCAATCGTCCATATATCGCCGATTGGTGGCCTCAGATCCCAATACGCCCATTCACAGTCGGTTTCAAAATCGAGGGCCTACCGCCGACCCATCGGTGACGTATCCCCGATTCCAGGTCGATGTGCCCTCGCCCCTGGGCAAACTCTACCTTCCCCCCTTACGCTGCCCCTCAAGACGGAGTTTGTCCTCGCCCCGCTTGCCTTTATCCCAAGCTGGGGAGATCCCGCGGCGCCCCACCCGCCTCAGCAGGTGGCCACTCTCTCGGAGGTGAAAAAGACCAACCCGGACCTGCTGCAGCCCTCGCAGCTCAAGCCTAAGATCAGGCCGGATTCGCGAGCACTCTCGGCTGCCGCGGGCCGCGTCGTCGAAGGGTGGGAGGGCGATCGGGGTGAAGGCCCGAGGAGGAGGAGGAGGAGGAGGAGGAGGAGGAGGAGGAGGAGCGGGATGAGGAGGAGGAGGAGGAGGAGGTCGGAGGTAGGGCAACCCCATGGGACTCGATTTCAATGATGCGCGAGGCTTCTTGTGGGCTACAGGCGATCAACCTGACGACGCAGCTAGCCCTGGCCGTGAGCGCTCTGCCACTCGCCCGCTGGGCCCCAAGAACGCTGACTGGAAGGTTGTCACAGCTGCCTGCACCAGAGAGTTGACGAGAGCCCCGCAAGTAAACATTGATCCGATCCAAGCGGATTCATTCCGAAGCGAAATTTGGGGTTCAACATGCTCGAGCTCGACGCCTACTCGAGGATGACAGGTCTGGAACCAGCAGCTTTGAGCGTTTCCCCCTCCTCCTAGTCTTTGACTTCAGCCATGCTTACCCCTTCTTCCACGATTGGCTTTTTCTCGTCCCCTCCGCTTGTAACATTCCCCCGCCCTTCCTCTTGTTTTCAAACAATGAATGTATTGGTGTGTTGCTCTTTGGCCATGCTGGCTCCTCTCTCCTCCCTCGCTTCTTCCTGGGACCAGGCATTGTCCAAGGCTGGCCTGCTTCGCTTTACGCCTTCTTTCCCAGCCTTTCAATGCTCACTGCCGAGATCTGATCATCTCCAAGTGCCATGGCATCATCCGATGCTGCGCCGACGATGTCGGAGGAGTCATTCACAACATAGAGTGGCTTTCAAAGCTGTTCAAGGTTCTCGCGGCGTCCATGATGATAAATAGACCTCGGCTCATGATTGGCAAATGGTTCGTTGTGTCGCTTTCCCGTGCATTCTTGCACGATGAAACTGATCGAGATGAGACTTGGTTTGAGAGGGAGCTTCCAGCGTTCTCTTCCATCTTACTTATATCGGGCTGAAGTTTGGCCCGTACATCGTGCATGAGATTTGGGACGACCCACTCTCGACGTACTTTCACCGATCTGCTGCCACTGCCCTTGCTCGGCGGCCGCCCATGGCCACTGCTAAGCTATATATTCGAAGATCCGTCTCGACTTTCCGTTGCGTCTCCCAGCGTGCTTTCCTCCCCCCGCGCATCCCTCAGAAAGGGCGCGCAGTCTTGGCCAGCCAATTTGCGATTGCGCACCGCGACCTCTGTCGAGCTGGATTCTTTAATTTGCGAAAAGAGGGCTGTCTTAGATTGCAGAGCTTGACAGTCTTGACTTCGTCTTGAATTTAACCACACTTATACGTTGTGCCGTCCGCGGCTTGGATGGTTGGCCGCAGCTCATAGAGAGGAAGACCTGCGTTGACCCAATTTCCCCTGTGGCCCGCATCCTGGCTGGTAACCTCTCCCCTCTGTTCTGGAGCTCCCCCCCGTCCTGGTCTGTACAGAGGGTAAGACAGGCCATGGCTGACCCTAAGCTATACCATAAAAAATCATAATGTAGTTTCCAATTGTGTGCTTACGTTCACTCGCCGCCTGCTCCATCAATTCTCCAGCCTCTTTCCCTGGCAATCGCTCAGATAGACCAGCAACATGTTCAGAGTGTTGTGAAGAGCTCGCCCCCGCTTTGGGCTGTGTGCACAATCTTAACCCTAAGCGGGGTTTGGTCGATTCGGGCCGGCTCCACGAAAGCGGCGGTGAACGTTTGTGATGCCTCGGGCGTCCTAAGCCCGATGCAATATCGCATCATCTCGTTTGGCTGAAATGGTTCGAACAGGTTCGCACGCTTTGGAGACGCGATCTACATCCGAATGTCTGACTGCACGCCTCGGTCCTCTTTCCCGTCTCCCGCGTCGTTCGCCGTTACTGTCGCGTCGCATTATCTCTTCCTCCACTTCTCCGACCCCCCCGAAGGCGAAGTCCGCACTTGGCATTCCGCCGCAGGAAGCTCAGGCCATCCTGCCCTGCTCGCACGATTCCGTTCGCGGGCAAGCCATAGCTGTCCATCGCTGAGGGGAATTCTGGCGCGCCCAGCTACGCGCCAGGAGGAGGAGGAGGAGGAAGAAACGGAGGAGGAGGAGGAGGAGGAGGAGGGTGGCGTTTTGCACCTCCCCCTGTAATTCAGCGATTCGCTATGGCGTTCGCGCGTCGGTGCCGCCGAGAAGAAAGGGAAATGAGTGGGGAGGAGGAGGAGGAGGAGGAGGAGGAGGAGGAGGGGCGGCCCCTCGCACGTCCCCCTTCGGTTTGGCGCCGACGTGCGCCGCGCGGACAGTCCGAAATGGCATGACCTTCCATCGCGAGTTTTTGAGTGGGAACGCGCAGGGCGCCTCGGCTGGAGCTGGATCGGGCGGAGATGTCGCCGTCCGCTGGTGCCGCGCGCAGGTTAATCGCCCGCCGAGCTCCCGGACCCTACTGCTGAACATGGAACGCCCTCTGTCTGGATGGCCGCTGCCCTCCCCCCCCCCAAGGTTGCGTGGTCGCACCGTTTGCGTAAGCAGACAGCGATATTCGTGCGCAGTTGGAACGAGTGCCGCGACCGATTTCTATCGACGCAACATGATGGAGGCGTGCGGGCGCTGCCTCTACAGAGGTCTCGTGCGACAGTTCGATGTGGGACATGGACTCTGTCATGCATCCGTTGGGTGCGACTCTTTGAGAAGACCACGCGGCCTCATCCGAGGGAGAGGTTCTGAACAGTGCCGCCCGCCTCCGTGTATTTGCTGGGTGTTGCTTCGAACGGTTGCGATCGGCACGTCGGCGACAGTCTCACGTTGACATGCAACCGAATTCCACCAGTGGGGCCGATTAATGCGTTTGGTTTTTGCTGTTATGCTTCGCGGCGGCTGCGCCAATAGGAACGTCAAACGTTTCATCCAAACGGTTCTGTCCCACCTGTAATGGTTGGAAGTTTCAGGGCGAATGTGCGATGCGCTCTGACGAACGCTTGGTTTTGAAACACATTTGCTTGCTATCCGCAACACCGTTGGAAAGGTCATATTGAACAAGGTCGGGGTAGGAGTGTGGAGGAACCCCACGCGACAAGTCTGGTCCAAGCCTACCGACAGGGGAAGGGGCAGCAACGGAGAATGAGGAATGCGGATGGGGGCATCTGAAAGGGACGGATGGGGTCGCGGAGGATGATCGGTGGAGTAGGATGGTCTTGGAATTGCGTAACAGAAATTGTGGTTAGCACTATGATCGGCCAGAAGGGACGAGGAAAAAGGGGGGCGTGGTGAGTGGTGGTGGCGATGAGGAGGATGAGGAACCAGGACGTACCGTGCCATTTGTGCGGTGCTTCCTCTTCGTCGTCCTCCTTTTCTTCCCCCTGTTCCCCTTCTGAAATTGTTGTTGGCCTTCACGTCCTCTTTCGTTGCTGGCTTTTCTTCGGAGCAAAACGCAGGAATTCACAAACACAAGACGGACTTGAACGATGTTTGCCGAATGGCGATTTCACTTGAGCCCACACATGTATAACATGAGGCCACATCCTCCACGCCATGTCTCAAATTTGCACGGGGGGTTCTCTGGCGAAGCGCGCATGGTTTGGGTGTTTGACTCGCTCCGTTTTTTCCAAGCATCCTGTGTTGTTGGGTTTTCGTTTTGAAGAGACAGCGACCCGTGTCCCTCCCGCCTCCTCCTCCTCCTCCTCCTCCTCCTCCTCCTCCTCCTCCCTCCTGCTTCCCATCTTTGCCTCTGCCCTCCGCATGCCCATCCCATTTCGGCGAACCCCTCACAGGGTTCGTGCCCCATAAGGAGCTCCACCGAAGGCCCCAGTGGCAGCGTTCGCATGCAGTTCCACCTTCACTTCGGCGCACCCCTCACAGGGTTCGTGGCCCCATAGGGAGCTCCTCCGAAGGCCCCAGTGGCAGCGTCCGCATGCAGTTCCACCCTCATTGCTGCGCACCCCCCACAGGGTTCGTGGCCCCATAGGGAGCTCCACCGGCGGCCCCAGTGGCAGTGTTGGCATGCAGTTCCACTTTCATGTCGGCGCACCCCCCACAGGGTTCGTGGCCCCACAGGGAGCTCCTCCGAAGGCCTCAGTGGCAGCGTTCGCGTGCAGTTCCGCCCTCATTGCGGCGCACCCCTCACAGGGTTCGTGGCCCCATAGGTAGCTCCACAGAAGGCCTTAGTGGCAGCGTTCGCATGCAGTTCCACCCTCATTTCGGCGCACCCCTCACAAGGTTCGTGGCCCCACAGGGAGCTCCTCCGAAGGCCCCAGTGCAGCGTTCGCATGCAGTTTCACCGTCATTCCGGCGCACCCCTCACAGGGTTCGTGGCCCCATAGGGAGCTCCACCGACGGCCCCAGTGGCAGCGTTTGCATGCAGTTCCACCCTCATTTCGGCGCACCCCTCACAAGGTTCGTGGCCCCACAGGGAGCTCCTCCGAAGGCCCCAGTGGCAGCGTTCGCATGCAGTTTCACCCTCATGTCGGCGCACCCCTCAAAAGGTTCGTGGCCCCACAGGGAGCTCCACCGAAGACGGTAGACGCAATGGCGGCACTCACACTTGCATATGGTTAGGTCCTTCGCCAGACAATTTGTATTCAGGCCCTGGTCCCGTGTGTCCTCCACATCCGCTGCTACAGCACCCCCACCGCACAATCAACGACGAACAATTGCTTCAAGAACACATGGCCGAACGTGGAAGTTCATGTCCCCAAAGGCAGGTAAATTGCCCCGACCCAACTGGCGTGTACTCAACAGTCCCAGGCACCAGTCTAGTTTTTTTCGGTTTCTTCCTTGGGCGCGCTTACTTCAGGGTTTTCGCTTGCGGGGGCGCTTTTTGTGAGGGTGGTCTTTCTGCCCGCTGGCTTTTGGGGTTGGTGGGGGTGTGGGGTCGGCTCCAGCTCCCGCGCCCTCCGCGGGACCCAGGCCCGACGTGCCGAAGAACGGGGACGCGCCTGTGATGAACTTGGCGAGCCCGCCCTTCGCTGTTGCCGAAGAGAGTGAGAGAGAGAGAGAGAGTGAGAGAGAGAGGATGACAGAGAATTCACGGACCCAGATCTTCGACGATCTGTTTTTTCAATCCGGGCGTGTTGTTTTGATTTCGGCCTGTGGGGCTCGCTCTCGGGCCCAAGTACCATCAGGAATGGACCCCAGGCGAAAAACACGACCCTGTGGAAAGGGTTGGGGTAACTCAGGGCCGCGCATTGGACGGTTCAAAACATCGGACCTCTTGGGAGGAGGATAGACCGATACCGATGCCGTTCTTTTTCGTTTCGCCTTCTTGGGCCACCTGGGGGTGGTTTTCGCCCCCACGGCTAGACTCGCTTAGGTGTCCTGGTCAGATCGCACCCTGGAAGACAGCTCCAGCGAGTAGCGGATTGTTATCTTCCTTTTTCTTTTTTACAAAAGGAGAGGGAGAGACAGAGAGACATCTTCAGCATCGTCAGACTTCTCTCCACACCAAGTGGGCAAGGGCTCCTTAGCGCCACCGGCCTATCCCCCGACGTGGGGTCGGGTGCGCCGACACTCGTCGGGATGTGACGGGGACTGCATATACCTCCACCTACGGGGCTAGGTTGGACAGCGATGCCATGCTTTTCTAAGTGGGGATGGGTATGCAGCCGAGACGGTGAAAACAAACTAACAGTTCGGCTTCGGAAGGGTTTCCCCGTTCCTCAGGTCCTTCCGTTTCTGTTCCTTTGGCCAGTCTTCCTTGCGCACCAGGCTTTTTTGGAGCCAAAGAGGTGTTTCGGTCCCTATTCAGCGTCGCTGCAAGACCCCGACTTCAAGGCGTCTAGAACACAAATCGCGACGGGTGCTTCTCTGCCGCCACATCTCGGCTTCATGTATGGAGAGCTTATAGTCGGGGGTGGACAGAACCCCCGACAGTGACACGTCGATTAGTGAGTTGTCCGTTTTCGGTTCTCGAGAGGGCACCGTGGCCGTTATTTTCCAGGCTTGCGCCCGCCAGGTTTGGGCCTCAGGTCGTTTTCACTAAACCACGTTTTACTAAAGGGGGGTCTGTCCATCCCCGATATAGGTGGCCCGCCGGGGCCTCTCGAGCAAGCGGCCCGCGACAGGGCAGCCGTCTCGCGTGGGGGTGCCGAGAGCTCTGGGCCCACGCCTCGACCCGGAAGTGATGGCGTCGGGGGCCCTCAGGGGCAACCGGTGGGGAGGGGGGCACTGGCAGCAAGGGGAGCATCGACCTCTAAGTCGCCCGCTCATCGCCGATGGGTGCCCGATAATTCGCCCACCCACGAGCGGTGTCCGTGTCGAGGAGGGCCTAGCGCCGATCCAGCTATCGGCGATGCATCGCCGATTTCATGTAGATGTTTCCCCCCTGAGCCAGTCCCCTCCATGTCCTTCCCCCTGAAGGCTGGGGACATATCGGGAGCGTTGCAGTATTTCAGCGGTCCGTTGTCCGACGCCCTTCAACTACCTGTCTGTGGTCTTCGGGGAAGGTCAGAGGAGGGCTTTAGACACGCGTAGGAAGGGGGTATGGGGCGTGGGGAAGCCTTCTCAGAAGCACCCGTGCTTCTTAGAAGGCGCGGGCCTTCTAGATGTAAGGCCCGCGCCCTCTAACAAGCAGCCTCCTTCTATAGAAGCTTTCCCCCCTCCCCTATCCCATTGTGTGCGTCGTCAAAGGTGGGTAGGAGGATGAGGACGAAGCATATCTATGATGATGACAATGGGGCGCAGAGGGAGAAGGGGAAGAAAGAGGAGAAGCAGGAGAGAGGAGGGGGAGGACGAGGAGGAGGAGGCTGAAGGTGAGGGAGGAGAATACAAGAAGATAGCGAGTAGGAGGGACATCAGGAAGGGGAATATGACCAGCAGACGTGGGGGCTGCGTGGAAGCTGATGAGGATGAGGAGGAGGAGGAGGAGGAGGAAGACAAGAAGAGGATTGCATACGGCACTTCGACCACCTGATATAGTAGGGCGTGGGTGACGGCAACGATGATAGTTGAGATTGTTGCGTGCAAATAATCATGTGACTTTGTGCGATCACACGACATCGATGTTCAGTGCAATTAGTTTTGTTGCAGTGTTGGTCACGGTCGGCGAATGTCCACGTGTCTTGACCATGTATGGCACGTGCTCCTCGTGAGGGAGTCATACACAGCGCATCCTTGTGCCAGTGAGCTGAACGTGTATGGCGTGATCAATGGGCCACACAGTGAGTTAGAGTTGTTACAGACCGCAGAGCCAAACGCTTGTTTTGGTCGCGGGCTCGGCGTGCTCAAAAGACGAGATGGCCGGATCGGAAGGCGACATAGCAATTTAGCAAGGGCGAAACCAAGAAGACATTCAGGGAAGCACACAGTGTGCCAAAGCAAAAGCAGCGAGATGATTGGCCCATGGCATGCGCGATCCGAAGCATCTGCGATTGACACGCATGAAAGTCACACGGTTAATTATCAATTGCTCGTAGTTCTCAAGTGTCTTGGGAGCCATCTTGGCGCTTGTTTTGGACCGCCAAGCACGTTGTGGGCACACTATTGAGCAGCGTGGATTTCATCACAATCTGAAAATCTGAAGTTGTTGTTCACTCGCGTGCAGAATGAAGGCGACAATGTCTTCATAATGAGGCGGCGGAACCTTCTGATGGCAACGTCCGCTCAAATCGGTTCCCAGAGCCGCCCAAACAAATCTGAGCCTTCTCCAAGCCAACGTCCGAGGTGCTGTTTCGCCTATTGCCTATTGCAGGTTGACTCTTTCGTTATTCCGTGTATGCCTGGAGCTTACGACGCGCGCGTTCCACGGAGTGCTGGCGCGGAAAATAAAGGATGCCTTCCCGACCCGTTTTTCGGTCTGAGCCCAGCCGTTGCCACGAACACGGCCCCCTCCCGCCCGAACCCCCCGACCGGACCCCAGGTTCATCGCGAGGCGTGGTCGCCCTTTCACGGGCGGTCGGTTCGTGTCGTGTCGTCCTATCGGCGGCCCCAGCGCGGGCGTTCCGGATTCAGGTCGGGGAGTTTGTTCGTGGCCGAGGCTCGCCGTGGCCAGAGCAATTTTGTCGTTCCTTGTTCAGCCTCTCTATGGTATCACGATGGCTGTATGCGTATGCGTTTTTTCCTCCACTGTCCTGTGGTATTGGGTCCTCGCTTCGAATAGATGGCGCCCCGCGTTCTCCTTCTTCCTCTCGCTGCCCCCTCCCTTCTCACTCTTGCCCCTGTCTCTGCCCTCTGCTCAAGAAAGCTGCGCAGTCCTAGGTCCTCCTTTCGCTTCAATTCCCAACCGTCCTGTGGTGCTGGGTCCTCGCTTTGAAAAGACAGCGCCCCGCGTCCCACCTCCTTCCTCCCGCCTCCGTCCTCCTCCCATCCTGGCCTCACCCTCCGTATATCCCTCACACGCTTCGTGGCCCCATAGGAAGCTCCACCTAAGACCCCAGTGGCGCAGGTCGCATGTGGGCGTCACCATCTTTTCGTCCCACCCCTAACACGCTTCGAGGCCCCAAAGGCAGCTCCACCTAAGGCCCCAATGTGGGCGTCACGCCCGTTTCGGCACACCCCTCGCACTTCTGGAAGCGCCATCTGGAGCTCCACCTAAGGGCCCAATGGCATACACGCATGTGGGCGACATCCCCGTTCCTGCACACCCCTCACACGTTTCGTCTCCCCATGAGGAGCTCCAGCTAAGGTCCCAGTGGCGCAGGTCGCATGTGGGTGTCACCACCGTTTCGGCACACCCTTTACACGACGTCCCGTGGCCCATGGGGAGCTCCAGCTAAGGTCTAAGTGGCGTAGCTCTCATGTGGGCGTCACCCCAGTTTCGGCACACCATCTCACACGCTTCGTGGTCCCATAGGGAGCTCCACCTAAGGCTCTTGTGGCACAGTTCGCATGTAGGCGTCAACCCCATGTCGGCACACCCCTCACTGTTCGTCTTCCCATCGGGAGCTCCAGCTAAGGTCCCAGTGGCGCAGGTCGCATGTGGGCGTCACACCCGTTTCGGCACACCCCTCACACGTCCCGTGGCCTCACGGAGCTCCAGCTCTCCAGCTAACGTCCAAATGGCGCAGTTCTCATGTGGGCCTCACCTTCGTTTCGGCACACCCCCTCATACGTTTCGCGGCCCCATTGGAAGCTCTACCTCAGACCCCAGTGGCATAGTTTGCTTGTGGGCGCCCCCCCCCGTTTCGGAACACCCCTCACATGGTTTGTGGCCCCAGTGGGAGTTGCAGCTAAGGCCCCAGTGGAACAGTTCGCATGTGCGCGTCGCCCCCATTTCGTCGTCTTTGTCTCCGACGTTCAAGGTTGAACGCTCCCCTGGGGTGCATGCGGGCCTCGAGGCCCACAGAAACGACCTCGCGGCGCGCCACTTCGGCACAGCCCTCACATGTTTTTGTGGCCCCATCAACAGGGGGTTCCACCTCAGGGCCCAGTGGCAGCGCACGCACGGCTGCCCCGCCCCATTTCGGCACACCCTTCACACGCTTCGTGGTCTCATTAGGGGATCTACCGAAGGCAATACCCACAACGACGGTATTCACAATTGCATACAGTTGGGTCCGTCGGCAGGGTAACTGTTTTTTTGTGTTCTTCGGTCTCTGCCCTGCCGAAGGCGGGGAATGACGATGGTGGTACGGAGGAGGAGGGGGCGGCCCATATCTGGTTCCGCCGAGCCCAGGTGAGCTCCAAAAATTTCATTGTCGCGAACGCAGTGGAAACCATCCTGGCCGCTCCAAAGAAGGCAGGGGGGCGCGCCTCAGGAGGTGTCTACGGAGGAGGAGAGTTGGTGAGGGGGAGGAAGTGGAGAAGGAAGGGGAGAAGGATGTTGATGCTGATGCTGATGCTGCTGATGATGATGATGGTGATGATGATGATGCTGATGATGATGATTATTATGATGATGATGGTGATGGTGATGATGCTGATGCTGATGCTGATGCTGCTGGTGATGATGATCATGATCATGATCATGATCATGATGATGATGATGATGATGATGATGATGATGATGATGATGTTGATGATGATGATGATGGTGGTGGTGGTGGTGACGATGATGATGCTGATGATGATGATGAGGAGGATGCTGTTGCTGATGATGATGTTGATGGTGGTGGTGATGATGATGGTGATGATGATGATGCTGATGATGATGATGATGAAGCTGATGCTGATGCTGATGATGATGATGCTGATGATGAGGAGGAGGAGGAGGATAATGAGGAAGTGTGGAAGCAGCGGGGAGAGAGTGGAGAGGTAGGAAACGGAGGAGGTGGGGGAGGGGGGAAGGGGGATGAGATAAGGAGGTGGAGCCGCAGAACAGGAGGTTGAAGTAAGGGGCGAGCAGGGGAATGGCATGGGGTGAGAGGGAGCACAATCTGATCGGTTTGCCTCCTTTCTACGCCTGTGGGCGAGAAGTTCGCCCACATAACCGAGGAGTGTATCCGCTGGGTGAACTGCCTGGCCACTGCAAGTCTGATGCCAGTATGGGACGGGACTTGATATTGGCGTTCACATGTAATAGCTAATATATTGCGAGTTTGCTCTTGCGAGTCGCGACGGTAGTAATTCGCACCGCGGCTCGAGACTGCCCATCATTGAGCGGTGCTGGCAGGCTTGGAGGCCTGCCAACGGGGATGTACCCAGCGTGGTACAAGCACGGCGACCATCTCGATCTCCCGCGCTGCAGATTAACTCGGCTTCATGTTTTGTACACGGCTGAGGAGCGCCATGTGTCGTTGTCCCTCTCCAGCTGCAGCCTGATGTGCCATCATATGGTTTTCCCTGCGGCATCTGAAGGTGTCAGGGAACCCAGCGAGCGCATCAGAGTGCAGATGTTTCGCTGGCCACTGCCCCCCCCCTGGCAGAAAACGGACGGCCCATGGGTCTAGCAACCGATTACACGGTAACTTCGTGTCACGTCGACGCGGTCACAACCTCAGCGCGGGCGTTCAATGTGAATGCCGCCAGTGGCCCGGAATCGGCCGATGCCGAACGATCCCCTCGTGGTGTCAGCAACCAACGCCAGGATCGTCACGACACGACCCTGCTGTATGCTCGTGCCGAGTTTGGGCTCAGGCGCTCGCAGCCGCGGCACCCCCAGGGCTCTCGCCCGCGGCCAGCTTGTGCGCGCGGGGCGCGGCCCGACCAGAGGCGCCGCCGCTACTGGCAAGGTATCGAACACGACCCATGGAATTTCCGCGCGTCGTATTCGACACCTGGAACAAACATCCAACGCGGACGAAGAGCAGCGCGCAAGATGGTGAGGCGCTGGGCTGCGGCGTCAAAGAGCAGCGCGCAAGATGGTGAGGCGCTGGGCTGCGGCGCAGGCAGCCCGTTGGATTAGTCCTCCGAGGTCTCGACGCCTTGCCCGCTCCCAGTCCTTTTGGCGAGACCACGCCTCACTATCCCAGACTGTTGGGGGGTCGTAGAGGGGGGGTTATCCCAAGGAGGAGGGGCTGCGGGAGGAGCCCGGCTGGATGCTCGCGCTTCCTTCTTCCAGGAGTCGTTTAGAGCTATGTCCCTCCCAAGCCCACCTCTGCCCCTACCCCACGTTTACGCCCCCTCCCCACTCAGGAGGCGGCTTGCCGCCAGTCGTCGCCTCGCCAGGGCAGGGCGTCACGACGCCAACATGCCGCGCACGGCCCAAAGCCGTCCCACCCTTCTGCGGCGAGCGAGGGGAGAGATGAGAAGGAGCAGGCCTTTCCAGAAGGCGGCGGGGACTTCTCAGAAGCTCTCGCGCCTCTGAGAAGTCCCCTGTGCCCTGGGGGGAGGCCGAGAAAACCTCTCAGAAGGCCCGCTCCCTCTCACGCGCCCCCCCCTGGACGCGCCGCCGAAACGCGGAGCTGCCCAACACGTTCCGACAGGCGCGCAGCTCGCAGCCACCGCAGCAGGCCCCGTGCCCCGAGGCCTCCCCCTGCTCGCGGCCCCCCCCCCCGGGCTGGTCGTCGGACCCTGCGCGGCGGGTGGCCGCCGCCGCGGGCGCCTGTGCGCCTCGGCGAGGTCCGCGTTGCGGCGGCGCGCCCAGGGGTGGGCGCGTGAGAGGGAGCGGGTCTTCTCGGAAGGCTCGGGAGGCCGCCAGCTCTGAGAAGTTTCCGGAGCCTTCCCCGAGGACGCAGGAGACTCCGAAGGCTGGAGGGAACGAGGAGGCCTTCTCAGATGGCGGCGGGGCTTCCTATAAGCCCTCCGGCCTTCTGAGGGGGGTTCTGTGTCCTCGGGGGAGGCTCAGAAGACCTTCTCAGAAGGCGGGAAGACTGCCCGCCGAGCCTTCCGAGAAGGCCCGCCCTCACGTGCCTCCCTGGGCTGGCCGCCGAGTGTTGGGCAGCTCCTCGTCGGAAGTTGGAAGCAAGCTCCTTCGGAACATCAGACCCTCGTTTGCTGCAAACGCCCTTCCTACCCCAAGAGTCGAATGCCTTCCTTTCTTCGTCCTGTTTCAGGGCTGGGCCGCCGAAGCCCTGTCCATCTTGAAAGCCTTCCTTTTCAGGGCGACCGACGTGCACTGCCGCGCGCAGCCTCGAATTTCGGCGTCTTGAAGAGCTGTGTTCCTGCTCACGCCGAGCCTCTTCGAGCTCAGTGCCCGGTCTCACGAACTCGCCGAGACCAGTGGCATCGGACATCCGCGTATTGGCTACTTTCCGGCCGTTGGGTACTTGTTCGGTTCCATCGTCGATTGGGGGAGGAGTGCGATGAGCGCGTATCGAGGTCTCTGATGTTCGTTGCTGCATTTTTGGGGCCTCCTGAGTACCCCCAGGGGTCCCAGGAGATCTTAGCAACGACACTCCAAGGGTGTCCAGAGGGCGCCAGCCGATCCGATGGCTCCGTTCAACGTCCGGGCAGGACCGGGCTGTGAGGTTTGACCCTCCCCGAACTCAGCTGATACCACCTCACCTAGCCTCACGGTGACCCCTTTCTCGCCAGGGATCTGCCGACTCGGAGACTGGTTTGTGAGAACCTCGCGGAGCTCTGGATGTGGATACCTTCCCCGCTTTGATTCTTTGTGATCCCATCTCAAGCTTCAGGGCAGGCCGTTCCGCGCTGGGGAACACGCACATTTGGAGACGGCACCTTTCCGAGGATCCCGAGGAGTTCTGGACGTCGACGCCCTTGTGGAATCTGTTACGCCCAACGCCCCTTGTCTTGCGAGATCCACGCCGGGAGATGCGGGCACGCCCTTGACACGAGCCGTTCGGCAGAGTGGTGTTGCTGGAGCGGCTCTGGGCAGCAGGGCAGTCGTTGCTTCTGCACAAGGCTCGCCATCCTTTTTTCAGCGGATCGTTGCGTCCCCCTCCTCTGCTGCATCTGCGACTTGGTGTCAGGGTGTCGCCCTCGCTTGCCTTGTCTGTAAACAAAGCGCTCTCAGGTCATTGGCAGCAGGAGGGGGGGGTAGGAGAAGCATGCGTCTCATTCTCAAGGAGGGCAGACAGGCAGACCACGGTGGCTGCATGCCCGAGTGGCTTCGTCGGTCCAGCTTCCTGGCACGGACTCCAGCACCGCGTCTGTGGTGGAGGAGAGGGGGAGGAGGGGGACAGCGGGTGAGGGGAGATGGTGAAATGGGTGAGGGGTGGGGGGAGGGTGGCGGCAGCTGGATGAAGGAGAGCAGTTGGATGAGAAGGAATGAGGCTCAGGATGAGGAGAAATTTTGGGGGAGGACAGGGGTGGCTGCTCGGGTAGGCAATACGGGTGGAGGTGAAGGGGGGGGCGGAAGGGAGGGGACCGAGGGAGGCGTGGAAGAGGAGTGCGAGAGGGGCGGGTCCGGAGGGCGGACGGCCCCTGGATCAGTCATCCGACGGCGCCCGCGACTTCCTGAGCAAGCAGGACTACGGCAAGACGCCGAAGTACCTGAACAAGGTCAAAGCCGACATCGATGACAGCTCGCGGCGCGTTTAGCCCGAAGGCGAACATATGCAGAACCATACACTCGGCGCTGGGCCGGATGCCTTGGGACCGACGCTGGGCGGGCGCGGATTTCTCGGAGCGGCGCCGGGCACCTTTGGCCACGCCTCTGGCGCCGCCCCTGGCACGCTCTGCGCGCCCGGGAGGTGGTTCCAGCGTCGATGTAAGAAATCCGCGCGGGCCTTCGAAGTTTGTGAGTGCTGCCTTCTTGTTCGTCTTCTGTTGGCTCCTCCCACCTTTGCCTTCCACCACCTCCCCCCTCCCCTGGATGCCCACCGAAAGGGATTGATGACGTGGGGGGATGCTTGCAATGTGCTTGTGCACGGAGGCAACGATGGAGGCCCACTCCATAACTCGGTCATGGAGTTCTCGCCCACGCGCAACATGTTTCGCCCACACGTAACATGTTTCTCCGATATGAGTACACACGATGCGGCTTTGACATAGGAGTTTGTTTTTTGTTGTTAGCTGTCAACGACACGTAGAAAACAATCAGCAATACCTGGATTCTGGCAAGTCTGCTTGAATGGTATTCCGACCCCTCCCTTCCCTTTCGCCGCCCTTTTCAGCAGCGCTGGGCCGAACAAGGTTGGCGTGCAAGGGAGTCCACTTGCGTGAAGTCCAGGTTTCCTCTCGGGCCTCGCCACGCCGATCCCCCTCTGTGCAAGCAAGCTTGCCAGACTCTCAAAGCAAGACTTCCTCTGGTCGGGGACGGGGACCGAGATCTCTGGCGGATCCAGATGCTTTTGCGCGGGGGCCACCGGAGGCCTCCGAGCACCCTCCCCAGCCCCCCGATCCCCCCGTGCCCACGGGGGGGCCCAGCGGTGCGGTAATACTGTGTGGGGTCACCCCACGGTGTTGGGGCTTTGGTCGTTCTCCGAGGACGTCTCGGGCCACAATTGCCTCCGAGGTTCCAAAATCGTGCGGTGACGGACCGTACGGTGAGGCTTTTGGGGATGCCGAGGTCACTGCACGGCGTGTCACCGCACCGTTCCAGGCCCCACGAGTGTGCCTTTCCCCGCATTCGTCCCAGTCCCGATCCTTCTGCGGTCAACCCTCACGAGCAGATATACAGCGGCAGCTGTCGTGGAGAAGATTCGGACTTCGGAGAGGTACGGACCATGGGCTTGTCGTTTTCAGGTGCGTAAATGGAGGCCAATCGGCATCTCGCCAGTAGTTTTAACAGTTCTCGTGCTAGATTTTTTTATCGCTGTGCATTTGCCAGGCAGGGCTTTCTGTTATGTTCTGCTCCTCCTCGTCCTGATCCTCGTCACCGGTCCCCGTCCTCACCCGCGCTGGTCGAGTGTGTCGTGCCTCGCCGTAGGAACATGGATTGAATGACAGAAAACAAGACAACCATACACTTTTGGAGCTCCGCGCGGATTTCTTGGATCGGCGCTTTGGCCCCCCTTGCCGCGCCTCTGGCGCCGCCCCTGATTCGCTCCGCGCGCTAGGGAGGGGGGTCAGCGGCGATACAAGAAACCCAAGCCGACCTCCGTATGCAGTGTTTGTTATTCCAGTTCGGGGGGTGGATGCCGACGAGAAATGGAGCAGGAGATGAGACAACATGAGACGAGATAAGGGAGCAGGAATAGGAGGGGCGTTCCCCATGGTCCCCTGGAGGCCTCCAGACGCCCCCGAAAGGGTTCAAAGGCGCATAAACCTCAATCATCAAACCTTGAGGACCTCGAAGCGAAGTAGATAGGGAGAAGGTTGATGAGAAGGATGAGGAGGAGGAGGACCAGTGTATACCCAGGACGCATCAACGATGTTGCACTAACTCATCCTTGCAAGTCCCCTTTTCACAGGTCTCTACAGTTATGTATTTTCATTGCGGGAAGTGCCCCATTGAAATACAACCGTCTGAGAATCGTCCATCGTCCCAAAACACACCACTACTTCAACGCCGCGAATCAACGTGGCTGTTGCGTCCTGACAATCCGAAACCGTGCCATTGCTGCGTCCTGACAATCTTAACCCAGCGCGCCAGAATTCAATTCCTGGGAATTCCACCCCGCGATTCTTTGAAACGGTTAAACAAGTTTGAGACAAAGGCGCATGACGGAATCTTATGAAATTGTTTAACACTTTTGCAGGCAAGAGCCACCGATTGAAAACCAACCGCCCTGCATCCTCGGATTTGCTGCAAATGGTTAGCGGCGGCATGGCGAGCGTCACATGTTGAGAAGGAGCCGCCCTGCATCCATGAAGCGGTGGCAATTCTCATATGCGAGTGCGCCCGGCGCTAAGACGAGAGAGACAGCCACATTTTGGAAAGGACCCGCCCTCGTATCTTTGAGATTGCTGTACCCTCCTATTCAAGGCGCCTCTGCGCGGCGCTCAGGCGACAGCCACATTTTGAAGAGCAAAGCTTGCAGACGCATGTGAGCGGTGCGAAAGCGAGAACCACATTTTGAGCGGGACCCGCCGTCCACCCTCGAAGTTGTTGCGCATTTCAAGCTTCAGGGTCGTGCAGGGCGCGGCACTCTCAGGCGGAACGCCTGGCCCGTCCTTCGAGAGGGAGGAGTTATCTATCAGGAAAATGGATGGATGAGGTGGGAAGGATGAACAAGGTACGTGGCCCATTCCGATCCGATCGGTCTGGCCCGATCCGATTCGATTGCGATGCTCCGACGATCCGATGCGCCCCGATGCTTGCAGGACGCTCTTGTGCATCCTTCCTGGCGCTGCCGATCCGGTCTCGAGCGTGCCATGCCGATGCAGCCCGATCCGGCGCACGTATCGATCCGGTCCGATTCCCCGAGTCGGTGCTGACCGATCTTGCGAGAAGGAGCGGGGAGGAGGGAAGATGAGTTCAGAGGAGAAGCGGGGGCCACCGCACCCACCCAGAACCTTTCGGGTGTGGATTAACCCCTGGGCGGTGTTACCCCCAGGCATCACCGAGAACCTTGTGACGCAATGGCGTGTCACCGCTCAAGGGTCGAGATTGTTTTTTTATCCTCTGGGGGGTAACGCTCGTTACCCGGGCCTCTCCCCCCCCCCCCCCCGTAACGGTAACGCTCGTACGCGGGGGGGGTCTCGGTCTTCCCCTCCAACATGCTGGTGCCCGAAGGCATGCGCACTGTGGTGTGGTGGTCGCAGGCGCACTGTGGGCGCTCGCAGGCCATTGCGGCGCTCGCATGCGCGATGCTGGTGCTTGCGGGCTTTGCGCTTGTACTCGAATCGTCGTCGTCGTCGTCGTCGTCGTCGTCGTCGTCGTCGTCGTCGTCGTCGTCGTCGTCGACGGCGCCCGAAAACGGCCTCCGGAGGCCGAAACAGGCGGCAAACGTCGTCGTCGTCGTCGTCGACCTCGTCGCTCGTCGCTCGTCGATCATCGTCGTCGCGCGCGCGGGCGCGGGCGTGGTGCCGGGACCACGCGGCGGGCTTTGCGCTTGTACTCGAATCGCAAGCCACTGTGGTGCTCTCAGGCAGAGAGTGCTGCTCGCGCGCATACTATGGCGATCGCAGAGCGCCCCTGCTTCGCCATACCCCGCCCAGCCCAAGCGTTACCGTTACCCGGGGGGCACGACCCCCCCCCCCCCCCGGGTAACGAGCGTTACCGGCCGGAATAAAAAAATGATCTCGTCCCCCCCCGCGCCCCGTTGGGTTCTCGATGGTGGTGGTCTCTGCTTCTCTTCTGATTGGGTGCTGCTTCGAGGATTCCCATGGTCCATGGAGTTTCCCACGGTCTCCAGAGCACCCCATCACGAGGCCCAGAGGGCGCCTCAGGCCCCAGCAGCTGGGCCCCAGCAGTGGTAGTGGAGTTGAAGCCTGTGCACCTTGGGCCAGGGACGCCCGCAGCAGCCACCGATGTGAGGAGTGGGAGCAGGCCGCGCGGAGCAGGTGGCGGGAGATGCTCCCCCCCCCACACACACATACACACACACGCACACGCACACACACACAACTCCCAAGCGCTTTCGCCCTCCTTCCGGGAACATAATTATCCCAGTGCGATCCTACCTAAGAGTTGGAACATCCAGGGAAGCAACATCTACATCCACACCGACAGCTACATTAACATCTACACCTGTATCTACATCTACATCTACATCATCAGCGAGACTCACATCTACATCTACATCTACACCTACGTATACACCTACATCTACATCTACATCTACACCTACACCTACATCCACATCTACACCTATACCTACATCTACATCTACATCTACATCTACATCTACATCTACACATTCGCATTGGTATTGCTTTGCTGCGCTATGCTATGAAATGATTCGCTATGCTATGAGGTGCTGTGCTATGATATGCTATGCTATGCTGCGCTGTGTTATGCTAAGCTAATCTATGATACGATATGACATGATACGTTGCGCTATGCTATGCTATGCTATGCTATGCTATGCTGCGCTATGTTATGCTTCGCTATGTTATGCTATGACATGCTATGCGATGCAAATGCTGAGCTGAGCTAAGCTAAGCTAAACTAGGCGACGCTAAGCTAAAGCTAAGCTAAACTAAGCAAAGCTAGGCTAGGCGCTAAGCTAAGCTAAGCTAAACTAAGTTAAGCTAGGCTAAGCTAAGATGAGATAAGCAACGCTAAGCTAAGGGAGCGTCACTGGGGGAACCGCGGGGCGGATCCTGGGGGAACCGCCCGGGGCGGGGAGCACTGCCCGGCCATTTAAGCATACAGGGCAAGAACCCTTCTAGGCAGAGCCTAGGTAGGGAAAAACATGGATTAGGGCACGGGAATTAGCGACAGGCCCCGTCCCGTTTCCGATCCGTGGATTTGGCGCCCACGCGCCAGATCCACGGATCCCTAATCCATGTTAGAGGGCGTGCGACTCTAGGTCGCGCAGCCCCCCCCCCACCCACCGAGATTGGCGACGGCGCCCGCGGGGGCGATTTTGCGCGGCCCTAGGACGAGAAGTCCTACATCGCGAACCTGATGCAGCAGCAGCAGGAGGAGGAGAGCCGGAAGGCGCGCGGTTGGCCCGGCTGCTCAGGCGTCTCGTAATCGGTGGGGGGCAATGAGTCGGGCGGACATTGAAGGTTGCAGTAGTCAGGAGCGAAATATACACTTAGGAGGACATAGATGTTCGCGGGTTTCGGGGGTACGCATTGCGGGGAAGTTCGCAACTCGAGGAAGATTTCGCGGACTGGGGGGCGTATTCATGCACGTTGCTTGGCGCGTGCGTCTCCTGTGGGCTCCCCCAAAAGGGCAGGGGCCTCTCTGGGGCTCCAGAGATGCACGAACTGTGCACCTTTTGTCTTCTCCCCCCCTTGTTTCTGCCCCCTCCCTCCATTGAGCCCCACGCCCGAGCTGCAACTCCTCGGAGGCTAGATTCAGCATCGGTGCTGGTATATGTCAGTGGGCGAAGGCTGGCCCAGTCGCGCCTGATCTCGCTGAGTTCCGCTCAATATTCCGCGAGGTCCCGCTTAATCTGGTTTAGGTGGGCTCGATTCGGGCTAATCCACCTTCATGCCCCTTTCAACGTGCTGAGAAGCTTGTCATCGTTCCCACGAAGACCTTCCAGGAGTTGCCTCCCATTCAGCTGTGTTCGTGCTCCTTTTTCTGTTACCGTCCACCTCGCTCTCCCCTTTCCAGTGCGCCAAGTTGGCACTAAGACGTTCCAGGGGAACCCACGATGGCCCCAGAGGGCCCTGGGACCACCAAAGAAGTCCCCAGGACGATAAGTGCCCACAATTATCCGGTTGCCCGGGGAGGGTGCCACCACCACACTTGCCCAACATTTTGGAAGACGGCATGTTCGGGGGCGCACAGGAGGCCATAAGGCCGTAATGTGTGGGAAGCCGTATTGTGCGACACCTCGTTCCCCACGGCCTTTCGCAGAGCCGTGACATACATGTGGCACATTTTTTCGCGTCGTGTCAGAGGTTCTCTTCTTGTATTCGTCGTCTTCCTCCCTTTTTGCCCGTCTTTCTCGTGTTCATGTGGGGCAGACTTGGGGGTCCCGTGGGGCACCTGAGGCCGTCTTGGGGCCCTCTTGGGTCGTCAGGGGGGGTCTATCGCGGCCGTCGCGGGGGCGTCTTTGGGCCTTCTGCGCTTTCTGAGGGGCTCTCTAAGGCCGTCGTCGGCCTCTCCGAAGGCCCTCTTTGGCCAGCTTGGGGCTCCCTTGTGGCCCTCTTGGACTGTCCTGAAGCAATTTCGGATGACTAGATGGCAGAGAGCATGCGTTCTTGGGCCGCCTCGGGGCTTTCTTGAATGCCTATAGGGCTGTCTGGAGTTGCAGTACGTTCGTGTGTGTGTGTGTGTCTGTGTGTGTGTGTTTTGTGTGTGTGTGTGTGATGTTGGCTTCTGCGTGGTACTGGGGATCCTTTCGTGGCCCTATTGAGCCTTCTTCGGGGCTTCTTGGGCCGCCTTTGAGCCATCTTGGGCCGTCTTGAAGGCATCTCAGGCCATCCTGGTTGCCTGGGTTGCCTGCATCGACCGTCCTGGAATCTCGGGAGCGCGGCCCATAGTAGTTCTGCGAAGGGCCCTGACCTGGGAAGCGCGGACCACGATTTCGCATTATGGGTACTACTCGCCTAACTCCCATGGACTCCGTCCAGAACGTGTCCCGACCTCTCCTCGTGTGGTTTTCACACGCAGGTTTTCGTAAGTTGTTATATATTTGGTGTTGTCTCCAATCCGATCGATTTCCACCCTTCACAATGGTGCTCCTGCTGCAGCGTTGGCCTCATTTCCGCGCTGCTGGTCCTTCAACATCGTGCTCCCGGTGCAGCGATGGTCTCATTCCAGCGTTTGCGGTCCTTCCGATTGGTCTTCCCGTTGTAGCGTTGGTCTCATTTCCGCGTGCCCGGCCTTTCCAAATGGTGCTTCCGCTGCAGCGGTGGTCTCATTTCCATGCGTTTTGTTCTCCCGATTGATGCTCTCGCTGCAGCACCAGCCGCATCTCCAACTTGTCACTCCTCCAACAGGGTTTTCCGCTAGCAGCCGCTAGCACCATTCATGCAGCCATGGTACGCAAACAAAACCATGTTTTGTTATGTACCGCTACTATGCTATCCCATACCCTGCTCTGCAGTGTTGGGATATGCAACGCTCGGCCAAGCAGAGCCATGCCATGCAATGTCAAACCATGCAATGCTATGTTACGTACCGCTACGCGATGTCATGTCTTGCGCTGCAATACTGTGATATACAATGCTGGCGACGCAATGCTAAACCATGCTATGCATGGCGTACCCTCCAGGGATCGGTGTCCTCTTCGACATCTGACTCTGCGAACAAAGAGGGGCTCTACGCAATAGTAAGGGACGGGAGGGAGGGGTAGGACGTCAGGTTTGACGCGAACACACTCTGATTGTTCCCCCCCCTCTCCTCCCGTCCCTCCCCCTCCCCTCCTCCCTCCTCGCTGCTCCTACTTCTTCTACTGGGAGCTGGCTATGCACCGCCAACCTGGTTACTGGCGGGAACCTCGTAGAGCTTCCGAACGCCTTTTCGGCACTGGCAATATCTCAGGTTGTCCACTGAAGCTTCTTACATGATGTTTTGATATCGAAACACACGAGTCTGGTACCATGCAGAGCTCGGCTTCTGAAAGTTCTTTCACAGAAATGCTGCAGCCAGTCAGAGCCAGGAGACTTGAACGGCTGCAGCTGCTACACCTCAATGTCTGCTATGAAACTATTGAATATCACAATGAATTGTCAAGTACCGCTGAGTCTAGCAAACAACAGGCCCAGGTCGCCACATTGTCGGTTCTGGTCCAGTCGGCCAACTAGCTCCACCCTGCGCCCGAAGTCCTCTAGCACAGGGTCCCATCTGAGTTCTACGAGGTACCCCTCCAACCTTTCACGTCCTCCTCCGTTTTCCTGCTTCTTCTCTTGCTTTGGATGTCTCCCATGGATGCAGCCTCCCAGGAGCTTCCCAGGGGCTTTACATCTCCCATCGCATCCCCTGTGTTGAATCTGTAACTTACGATTTATATGCCAACGTGAACTCATTTTCTCGACTGTTGCCCAAGCCGTCGTGTAACAAGCCTGCCACGAGCTCGAGATCTGTTGATTGGAGAACTTTCTGCTATCAGGATTGCTCGGCAACACATTTAATTGCAGGCTAAAGTGGACTGGTGCAAAGTTCTAAGAAGCTCCCAGGTCCTCCCCTCCCCCAACCCAGACCACGCACGAACTGGAGCGCACGCGTATGGGGAAGGGAGGGGGAGGAGCAGGGAAAGCTTCCAGAGGTCTCCAGAGGCTCAAGACTCCCCGCAACCTTGATCTTCGATGCTCGAGGAGGAGGAGGAGGAGGAGGAGGAGGAGGAGGAGGAGGAGGAGAAGGGGGTGCGCTTCACAAGGTTTCCAGTAGCCTGGGGTCTCCCAGAGGTCCCCCCTCGGCCCAGGTGCCTGATGTGTGGTGCAAGCTGGGTGGTGCAGGCTCTGCCAGCTGTGCGGTGCCAGCCCACGGGCTGCCCACGAGGTGCTCCGGGCTGGGCACATGGCGCCCCCAGGCAGGGCACGGGGCGCCTCGGCGAGTGCCCGAGAGAGTATGGCGGTGAACTTCCTGCTCCGCCGGCGCAGGAGGGGCCCCCATTCCGGAGGAGGGGGGGCGAAGGCCACCGGGGAGGGATGCGGGGGAGCAGAGGACCCCGTCGCGCCCCTGCCCGGCCCTGGTGTTGGCCGCACCTTTTCGATCAGGCGGTTGCAGGGAAACTCACTGCCTCTGTCTCTCTATCTGGCTCTCACTTCTCTCATTTTCTTTCTCTCTCTCTCTCTCTTTCTATCGTCTTTGTGGCTGTTCTGTCTCTCTCTCTCTCTCTGTCTCTCTTTCTCTCTTTCGCTGGCGCTCTCTTTTTTTCTTCCTCTCTCTCTCTCTGTCTCTCCTTCTCTCTTTCTCACACTTTCTCGGGTCTGCCTGTAGCGTTGTGTACGCTGGCGTGTTCTGCTTGGCTAGGCTAGCCTCCCAGTTCCAGCTCGAGTTCCAGAAAAGGCGTTCAGCGCGGGGGCGGTCCTCCTATTTCCTCCTCCCCCCTCCTTCCCTACTCCTCCTCCTCCTCTCCTCCCCTCGCTGCGAGGTGCGCCCATTGTCCGAGGATGAGCGCCAGTCCCTGATCGATGGGCTCAAAGCGAAGCGCCGGCCCTAGCCGCGCTCGAGCGCCGTCGGCCGACGCCCGCGGGGTGTCGGGGTTGCTGTCGGGGGTCGGAGGCATTTTCGGAGGCATTCGGGCGATTCGACTGGCTTGCGCCACATCCGCCGACCCCTCGCTTCTGTCCGCTCTGGTGGGAGCCCCCCCCGGGGGCGCCCCCTGAGACACCGCGGTGACCACACCTGGGGAGCCAGCGGTGACTCGGGGTGATCGCGCGGCTTGGGGACTTGAGAGGCTGCCTCGGGCTTCCGTGGCATCCGAGGTCGCCGCATGGCGCGGTGGCGGACCGTCTATATATATATATAGCTTTTCGAGGTCACCACACGGTCTGCTACCGCGCCGCAGCGGGGGGGAGATCGAGGCGGCTGGTGTGCCCCCCTTGCCGCTGCTGCTTGAGGAGGCCCCCTTGCGGTGGGGTGTCCGGAGGTCTGGGCCAGGGGAGGCCGGGTGCCCCCCCCCCTCTCCCCTCGGCGCCCGGGGGGCCTCGGGATGGGGCGCGGGCCCTGGCGGGAGCCAACAGGGTGCGAAGGGCCTGGGGCTCGACAGCATTTCCTCCCTCTCTCCCTTCCTCCCTCCGTCCCTCTATCACCGTCGCTGACCCCCCGCTCCCCCTCCCCTTCGCATCCCCCCTCGACCCCCAGATCGAAAGCAAGCCTTGCCTCCTCCTATCCTCTTGGCGCGGAGTGCACAGCAAGCCCAGCTCGGGATGGGTACCCTCAAGGTTTTCGTGCTTGGGCCCTCCACCTTGGAATGTTTTTTGTCGCGTGGGGTAATTATTTCCATGGGGCCCTGGCCCTGTGGCGAAGGGGCTTCTGGTCTTCAGCCACGGTCTGGTTGCCACCGTGGTGGCATGGTCCCCGTGTGGGTGTGATTCATGTCATCCGGCACGCAGTGCGCGTGTATCCAGGCACGTGAGCCCGCGCGCTCTAACTTGTTACCTGCCCGCATTGCCGCCCCTCCCGCCCATTCCACTGAGCAGCTCGTACGCCCCGTTTGTGGAGGCCATCGTTGGGATGTCTGATCTCATCCCCTTCCCCCAAGTAATGTTGTTGGGCCACGCTGTCGTGGCCATGTCTCGACCTTTCGCCGCGCGAGCTGCTCGTGCTCTCTCCCGCGGCCAGGCGGGGTCGGCAGGGCGCTGGCATGCGCACCAGCCTACCTGCTCCCTCCCTCCCCTTCTTGTTCCTCTTTCGCCTTCCGCCCCTCCCTCCCCCCTGCCCTCCCCTCGCCGTCAACTCCCCCTCTCCTCCCACCTCCTTTACCCTTCCCTCCATCTCCCCTTCCCGCCTTCCTCCCCTGCCCTTCCCGCCATCTCCTCCTCCCCCTCCCCTTCCCTTCCTGCCCTTCCTCCCATCTCCCCCCCCATTCCCGCTCCCCTTCCCCTTCTCCCTTCCCTTCCCCCCATTCTTCCTCGAAGTTCCTCTTCCTTCCCCGTGGCCCCGCGGCGTGCCGTGCCCCCCTCCCCGCGCCCCTTCGCCCTCCGCCCTCCTGCCCCCCGCGCGCCCGTCTAAGCTGGGAGACGGTCAACAAGGAACGCCCCTCATCGCCCCCCCCCCCTGCTGCGCGCGCGCGACCTCTTTTCCCCCCCCCCTGTGGAGGAGGGAAGGAGGAAGGCGGAAGGAGGAAGGAGGAAGGAGGAACGACGACGCGGACAAGGAGGAGTAGAAAGGAGGGAGAAGGAGAACGGAGGGAAGAGGTGTGTGGAGAAGGGAGGGGCAGGGAGGGGCACACGGAATGAAGAACGCGGAAGAGGAGTGGGAAGGAGGAGGGGGATGATGATGATGATGATGATGATGATGATGATGATGATGATGATGATGATGATGATGTTGATGTTGATGTTGATGCTGATGCTGATGCTGATGCTGATGCTGATGCTGATGCTGATGCTGATGCTGCTGATGATGATGCTGATGCTGATGCTGATGATGCTGATGATGATGATGTTGATGATGATGGTGGTGATGGTGATGGTGATGGTGATGGTGTTTGTGATGGTGATGGTGATGGTGTTGGTGCTGGTGATGGTGATGGTGATGGTGATGATGATGCTGATGATGCTGCTGATGCTGCGGCTGATGATGATGGTGATGATGCTGATGTTGATGCTGATGCTGATGCTGATGATGACGACGATACCGATGACGATGATGCAGATGAATATGATGATGATGATGGTGATGCTGATGCTGATGATGCTGATGATGATGAGGAGGAGGAGGAGGAGGAAACCAGGACCAAGACCACCTTAGGATTGGATGGCATCCACCACGCGCCTCGCCGCTGCACGCCTGAGGCATGACAGCACAAATGATTGATCCAGAGCTATTAGAGCATTTCGCAGCGCGAGCGGGCCAGGGAGAGCCTGGCTCAGGCTTGCCAGCGAGCCTCCGGGGTGTTCGGCCGCTGGATGGCCCCGAAGCTACACACTGCTCACGCGTGTTATGACAAACACCCGTTGGCACGTCACCGCGCGCATCGAGCACGCCTCGAACGAGAATGGTTTTGCATCTCTCGGCGTGTCGTGCAAAACTGAGTGGGCAGCGTGCTCGCCAAAGTCTGAGCGCATGACGGTGCAGGAGGAGGGGGAGGTGGAACGAGACACGTCGCAGTTTGACAGCAGAATGCTACGAGAGGACATGCCCACGGCCACAAAGACCGATCGGGGGAAATTCTGTACAAAGCAACCGTTTTGTACAGAATGTCCCCCTTCCCTGTTTTGATCGCGCTAGGGGCACCCAAAACCGAGGGGGGGAAATAGTGTACAAACAACGGTTTTGGATTCTAGTTTCTCCGCCTGGTTTTGGCGGTCAAGGTGGTTTCGATCCAGTGGGCGCTCGCCGTAGCTACCTGCGTGCACCGCGCTGGATGGTGGAGGAGTGGAGGAGGAGCGCCGCGTTCACTTGCGCGAGGAGGCCCGCGGTTTGCGGGCGCGGATCATTTCAAGAGATCCATCATATTCGCCGCCTCTCGCTCGAGCTGGCCCTTCGTTGGCGCCCGATGCGCCGCACGCCTTTCTGGAACTTGAGGCTGGCCATCATGGCCGCCTCCAAGGCGGGGAACTTGGCATCACTCGCGAACGTCATGCGAATGACGTCGTCCTCGCCCTCCTTCCGCTTGGTCGGGCGCGACCTGCAGTAGCGCATTTGGTCCGCGAGGTCCATGGCCGAAGTCATCTCCAGCACCACGTTCTGCCAATACTCCGCGACCTAGGTGCGATGCTGCTCGTCCAATTCGGAGAGCGCTGCCAGGGCGCGGACCAGCGCCAGCCAGACGTGGACATACGGCGGGTCGAGCGGCTCCTGCTGCTGGATCTGCTCCTCGGCGCTCTCATTATTCTTGATCTTTATCGCCTCCTCGTAGTAGCGGCGGCCGGCTTCCAGCGCGGCTGCTATCATGGTGGACGTCTTGACGTCTTGGGGACCAGGAACGTGTGTAGTAGGCCACGCTGCACAGCTCTGGAATCTCGCACGCGTGGTTGATGCTGAGCTGACAGAGCACGCGCACGAGGCGGCGCATAACGTCCTTGTGACTTCCGCCTTGTGCCTCGGCCGCCTCGGCCAGGTGCTTCCTGCGAGCTGCGGGCTCGGCGGCGACATCGCCCCCCTCGCGCTTCTTGCCGAGGATGCCGGAGGCCCACTGCGGCACCTCGAAGACCATGGCGGCTCCGAGCCAGGCCAATCCGGGGAGCGTGCGTGAGCACGTGCTCGTGGAAAGACTCTAGCTCTGAGCCTGAGAAATCACACAACGGACACTGCCAAGATGACGGTGAAACGACCTCCCCCACGTAGCGAGAGATTTTCTCGCAGTACTGCCTGCGAGCAGCAGCAGGCAGTTGGCGACAAGCAGTGCGACGTGGAGTGAATATCATGCGGCAGTTCGGGCATTGGTATGTAATGTCGATGTAATTGTAGATGTTGTGCAGACCATGGCAATGAAGACGGTGCGTTTTGTATGTGGTAAGTGATAAGCGGCATGGGCCCGACTCCAAGGGCCAGCACCACTTCCACGGCAGGCGACCAACCAGAGCTCCCAGCAAGGCGAGAGGTCGACGTGGCTCCCCAGTGACGTGTTGAAGCCATCGAAGACGACGCACCCGAAGTGCGACACGAGAGGGGGCAGGGCCCCAATACCGCAGAACCTCGGCGGTGGACATCGTCCGAATGTGCTCTGTCGGAACAGAAATGCCTGCCTTCTCCGCCATCGCTCTTCTCCCGAACTTGGCGTTGAGATGATCGAGCTTGCGGTACTGTGCGAGCGCAGGGATATACGACTCCACCCCAGAGGGCGCTGGATTTTGAACCCGAGCGGTAATCGTTGCCCGCTTGAACTTCCAGCTCTTGGACTTGTACCAACAATGCCCAATGCCATATGTGTTTTTTGCCGTTGCAATCTGCCGATGGCGTAGTTCGCAGCTGAACCCGCCGTGCGCCGCGAATGTTTCCGAGGTGTCACACTTCTGGTTTCGGCACGCCGGGAAGCACAAGGGCGCCACGCCGAACCTTTGCTAGAAGCTGCGGAGATCGCTCACCATTAATGTGAAGCAGGTGCTCTTGCTTTGTTTGGTTTTGAACGTACCCCGTGGGAGAAAGTGCTGTATCGAGAAGTTCGTTGCTCGCCCGCACCTGGTGGAACACAGAGACCTTGGGAGCAAACTCAGCAGGCAAGACGGTATGCACGCTTTGCTGGAACGTTGCCATGAATAAGAAGACAAGGAAGGTGTCCCCAATGAGGCCGCCGATCGTGGGCTTGAGCACCAGGGGGCCCTCGGGCGTGCCCGAGGTGATCGTTGCCTGGTCCATGGCGTGGAGGCGCCATACGACCACTGGCTTAGTCGACATGGCCTCCTCGCGCCAGCGCCCATGCGCGAAGCCGAAGGCGTGGTCTGGTACCGGTCGAGGCTGAAGCGCTCCAGCATACCAGCTTTTGCCCAGCGCAGGAAGCCCGTGGATCCAGCGAGCCTTCTGCATGGTACCTATGCGGACCGCGTGGCTGCGGTGCCAGGAGGAGGAGGAGGAGGAGGAGGAGGAGGAGGAGGAGGAGGGTTTGAGGGATGCAGCAGCGCCACATGCTCGCGCACTGAGTGCGACCCGCGCCCTGCGGCGCGCCGCGTGGCCGCGCAGTCTTTTGCGCCCCTGCCGCTGCCCTCGGGGGGCGTGTCTTTTGGGAGTCCCGACACCGTCACCACACTGTTTGGGGGCCCCCGATTCTCAGCCTCGGGTCGTCGCGCGCGCATGCCAAAACCCTTCAATGCCAAAATCGAGTGTCCCGAAAACATATACTAACACATGGTTTCGCAACCACACCTCTCTAAACGCGTCAAAAAAAGAAACGTGCGCCCGCGCTCTTGCAAATCCGTAAGGAGACTATAACTTTTCAACATTACATGCTACCAAACGGGTCCTTCGCGCGTGCATGCCAAAATCGTTCGAACGCCCCTGCGTGCGTGCTGTCGCAATAATCCCTTGCAGCAGCTAGGACGTAATGCACACGCGAGCGTCGTCGCGCGGGCACGCCGAAATCCCTCAACAACCGGAAGTTTCGCCGAGATTCCAAAGCCGAATGTCCCGAGAACACTTTCACACATGGTTTTGCAACGCCAGTGTCCCCCAACAAAAACCTGCGCTCGCGGTCCTGCGAATTCTTGAGAACACCATTGGTTTTCTCAACACTTTCACTACACTCTGCCCAGCAAGCCTCTCGCGCCGCATGCCGAAATCATTCGAACGCCTTTGCGCGCGTGTTGGGGTTCACGACCCGTGTCAAAAACATATAATACGGGCCACTCGCGCGTCAGCCGCGCGCGCATGTCGAACGCCTTCTTGAACAGCCAGCACCTGTGTGAGGACGCCGTGATCGTCGTTGGCGTGATCGGCATCGGCGCTGTCACTGGTCTTGCCGTCGTCGTTGTCTTCCTCATTGCCAGCATCGCTGCTGTCATCCTCTTGTCTGCCGTTGTCGATACCCGGCCCGCCCAAGTCGCCCACTCGCACTGAAGTGCCCGCTGGGAAGTGCCCAGCGGTCAGCGCCACCGCGGCCGCGTCGGCCGCGCCAAACTAGTTGGCCGCTGCGCGCGCGAGCGTGCTGGGGCTAGCGCGGCCGCAGACATGCACTAGCCATCACCAAACACTCATCCTAATCGGCGCCGCGTGGGCTTATGCAAACCAAGCTGCGGGTGCGTGGGTGGGATGACTGCGTGAGCAGTGGAGTTGATAACTCACTGCGAACAGAGGTTAATTTCGCCACGCGAGTTGCCTCACAGGGACTGAACAACATGGGTTGCTAGAAACACACTGTTCGGTGTCCTCGCTGGCCAACGTCTTCAATGCAGGACCCTTGGAAGTCCCGACCTTTTTCCCGGGGCCCGGTGCTCGTCCCGATCAGTTTTGTGATTTTCCTGGGGCCCAGTGAGGGCCCCAAAAGGCCGAGAAGGGCGAAACACATGCGCCAGATGTCTGGGTACGTGGTGAACTTCCCCCGCCGCTGCTCCCCGAATTCAGGCCTCCCTGATGTTCCGAGCTGATGGGGTCGAAGAACGCGCCGCACCGTCGATGCATTAGCGATGCAGCTTGATATGGAGCCAGATTTGTTCCTTGCCGACGGTGCCGATGCATCGGAGATACATCGTCTATGCGGCGCGAACTTCCGACCCCATCTGGTCGGCACCGTCCAGGGCCGCCGACGATCCAATTCGATGCGATTAGATTCGCCGGCTGAGGCCCGCGATCCCGATATCCGAGGCGGCTCGACTCATCGGCATAGGCCAGAGTCAGCCGAAGCTGGGCGCGGTGGTCAGGTTTCGATCCGCTTCAGGGCGATTCGTTGCCGACCCGATCGGTGAGTTTCAGATGTTTGTTCGATTTCGCGATTCGATCAAGATTCGGCCTGCCACTGGGGAGGCCTTCACCGACGCCCCCCCCCACGCCAGGACTACCAGGCCATGGCCCACCTCACCAAGCTCGACACAGTAGGCGCCCCGCGCGCCCGTCACTTTGGCCCCGGCCTTGAACAGAGGCCCCCCTTCCCCACGTGGGATGCGACGCGGCCGGCTCCAGTGGCCTTGGCCCGATGTTGGGGGGGAAGGAAAGGCAGGATGAGGAGGACGAGAAGGAGGAGGAGGAGGAGGAGGAGGAGGAGGAGTGAGGCGGGAGGAGTGAGCCGGGAGGAGGGAGGAGCAGGGAGGGGGAGGGGTTGGGGCGAGGTAAGAGGTAGGCGGTAGGGGGTAAGAGTTAGGAGGTAGGAGCTAGGAGTTAGGAGCTAGGAGGAGGGAGGAGGAGGAGGAGGAGGAGGAGGAGGAGGAGGAGGAGGCGGAGCAGGAGCAGGTGGAGAGGGAGGAACACAGGGGGGGAAGAGGAGCGGAATGGGACGAGGATTGAACCGAAGATGTTGCATTGCTGTTATTATGTTTCAAGCTCCCCACCCGAGAAAGCGAGACGGGTTACCCTGGGAGTGCTGTCACGCGTTGGGCCCAGCGATTGCGGCATGCAGTTGTCATTCGCAGACTGCGCGAGGCGGGATACCCAGGCAGTGCTGGCACACCTTGGGCCTTGCGGCCGCGGTATGCAGGGTGTGCGAGGCGGGTCGGGAGCTCGCTGATTGCAATCTACGTAGCGCGTCGAAACAAGCACCACCCTTTGCCCGGAGCTCGGGAGGGTCTCTTGTTTTCGGGTCTTTTCTGAGATCTGGGTCGGAGAACCCTCTTCGGGGCCGAGCCTCGCAGCGGCCCCAAAACATCCTTCGGTTCCTTATCCAGCATTTCCTGTGGTAGCACGGTGTTAGCAGGTTGAGCCACAGCAGGATCTTATTGGCCTTGCTGAAACACTGGCCCCCCGGAGCCCAGAGGTTTCCGTTCATGGTCTGAATCGATCTTTTCGCATGGCGGCGTGTAGCTCCACCTCAACTGTCACACAGCAGGTTGGCCGATCGCGGCCCCGAGCGGAATCGAGAAACGAGGATGAGGGTCCCAGTCGGATTGCAACAACATCCCAATGATCTCCAACTATACGTTAAATCTGGAAGTAAACCTGAGTCAACAATGAATGCAATAAGGTTTCAATCGGGCTCCAGTCGGATTTCAATATGATTCCAATGTTCCTAATCTTATTCCAGTATGACCCCGATCGAATTCAGATAGGGGTCCAAATTGATGTCAGGTAGACCTCAATCACTTCCCAATATGATTCCAACCGAATGTCCGTAGCCATTTTGGCTCAAACCATTTTGGCTCAAGCCGAAGGGAAGGCCCGAGCGTCCATTCCACACGTGTGCGGCCTCAAGGGTCGCCCAAGGCCCGCCTGCCGCCACAGTTTCTACACGCTCACCTCTCGCTCTTCTCCATCTCTTCCTGCACAGTGGCCGCCATGCCCACCGCCGACAGAGCCCGCTCATCGGACTCTTCTGGCAGCTGTGAGTCAAGGCGCCGAGACTCTTCGTCACGCAGCCGCTCAGACCGCGAGAAGGCAAACGCCCGAAGCCCACTGACGGGGAGAAGCTCGATGAAGTCCTCCGTGCACTCCGAGGGTTTGGTTCTCAACTCTCCTCGCAGTCCTACGACACGGGCCTCATCAGGAACCAGGTTGCTGCGCAGACAGTTCGATGCGACCAACTCACAACGAACATGTCCAACCTGGCCAGCGACATCCAGTCAAAAGTCTCTCAGCTTGAGAGCCATTAGTCAGTCATGTTCACTGACTTGAATGACCGCCTCACCGCTCTCCCGGGTGAAGTCAACACGCAGATTATGAACGAGCTCTGTGCCCAAGAGGCACGTACCGCCATCCCGATCTTTGACATGGACGCCGAGCAGGGCGCAGAGATCCACGCCAAAGTTCAGCAACAGATCGCCGCCATCCAGGAACAGCTGCGCACTATCTCGACGGCCCCATCGGTAGCCAGCACCGTTGAGGCGCAGCAGGACAACACGTGCACGCTGGTCGCGATCGGGTTCCCCCGCAAGATGCTCGCCCGCTCCCTGAAGACGATCGCGGACGCCATGAAGGCTTAGTATGCACCGCAGGAAGCCCAGGCGCGGATCACAGCCAAATGCTTCGACATGGCCAAGAAGATCACCTTCCATTTCGAGAACGCTTCGGACGCCTCAAACTTCCTGACGAACTACAGTCGCGACGGTATCTTCCGTCATCCTGACCCCCTCGCCCCTCAGAACATGCTCAATATTAAGCTCAAGAGGGATCAGGACATCAAGGGCCGATAATTATTTTTCTCCATGGGCAAAGTACGGGCCCTCGTCTCCAACTTGTTGGCCCCGTGGGGCGTCGAGGTTGGCAGTGACGGCTTGGGAGGTTTGGTATACGCCCTGAAGTCAGAAAATGCGCCCATCGAGATTGCCCAGATCCAGGTCTCAAGTGATGACCTCTCGATTTCTATTGAGCTCGACGCCGCCGGCCGGAGGGAATTTGGGTTGGAGACCCAGGCCGCCGCCGTCCGCGCTGCTGCGATGGTGCCGATAAGGCGCCCCTTTCGACGATGAACCAGATTGCACTTCAGGTGGCCGAGGGGCCACAGTGACGCGCATTCCTCCATCCCTTTCTGTGCGCGAGCGTGGTGAGGCTTTGTCTAGTAGCCCTCCCTTTTCCCCCGCTCCAAATTGTCTGCCCTTCGTCCCCGGAGACCCTCTCGCCATCTGTTCGTGGAACACTCGCGGTCTTTTTAGCGCAGTCAAGCATTCAGGGTTGCGCTCCAGCGCACGCTACTCCCTCCTTCTCTCGCTCCCTCGCAGATTCGCTATCACTTGTTGTCAAGAAACACACGGACATATAGGAGATATCGGAGAGCTCCACCGCGAGCTGGGCTCGGCTTCCTCGGGCTGGTCGATCGGGTCCTCGTTCTTCCCTGACACTCAGCGTGAAGGCGGGGGTCACCGCGATTATCAGCAGCGAGTTCAGTCAGCTATTTAACACTGTTACTCATAATCCCATTATTACTGGTCGTATCCTCCACAGTCGTCTATCTGGTCTGAATGGTTCCATCAGTATCTTCAACTTCCACCTCCCCAACGCGAGTGACTCTGTTGCCACGTTCTCCTCGGCGTTGTCCTTGCTGCGCTCTGAGTTTCAGAAGTGCCCGCGCGATCATAAGATTTTGATTGGTGATTTTAGCTTTGTTCTGAAGAAGAGGGACGGATGCAGCGCGATGGGTCGGGCTGGAGAGCTGGCGATCGCGCCCAGGCTCGGCTTTTTCAACGATACTTCCTCTATCTCACTGAACTTTACCAGGAGCAGGGCACTAGGCGGGAGGTCAGGGATGGGATCGTTACTCACTCAGCTCGTCTTGATCGGGCCTATACCTCCCTTCCTCAGGCTATTATACGTGACCTGGACATTCGCCGTGGTGTCCCGGGCAAGCTCAAAGCAAAAATGGCGAGCGACCACATCCCGATTTTCGTCGACATCGAACCCTTCAGGCCCTACGGTGGCCCCAAACACATCCCGAAGTGGGTCGTGAAGCACCCCGAGTTTCAGCGTTTCTTGGAGGCTGCCATCGCCGAAATGTCCACGGAGTTAGGTCCCTGGCCTCGCCTTGAGCAGCTCAAGGAACTGATGTTCGCCTCGGCCGCGCACGTGCGCGAGTTTGTCAAGCGCGAGGTTGCCGACGCGCTTGAGCTTGAACAGCATTGGACTTTACAGGCGCTTCGGGGATGGAGGTTAGGCAAAGATTGGTTGATCCACCGTGCTCTCAAATGTTACCCAGCGCTCCAGTCGCACTTCTGCCTCACCACTTTTCAGTGTGCCCGCCTGGAGGGCCTCTGCAGTCTTATTCGCAGCATTCAGATGCAATTGATGGATGAAGAGTCCCGCGAACTCGAACTCGCGACCCTCTCCCCAGAAATCAAAGCCTCCAAGAAAAACCGCGTCAATTGAATGCAAGAACTTTGGAGACGTTTCAAGAGCCGTACCTGCCTCACTGGCATTTATGACGAGAACGGCGTTCCCTGCAGGTCTGTCGACCACTCCGCCGAGGTCCTCAGGTCCTATTGGTCTTCTGAATTTTCTGCTCCTCCCCTGAACGTCGATGAGTGGACCGAAATCGATGCGTTCATCCAGCCTATCCCAGAACCCCTTCCTCGTTCCTGGAAGCCCTCGTATGGTGAATGGTATGACTATGTGAGGTCGCGGGTCCACAGTATGCCGGGTGAAGATGGGTTGTCATACGGGGTCTGGAAGATCCCCGACGCGTCCCGCCTGCTGTACGATGTCTATCTTATTCTATTCACTGATGATGTTCAAGAATTACCGATTCAAATGAGGCGGAGCCTCATGGTTTTCCCCCCGAAGGGCACGGACCCTCGTGACAAGCAAGACGATGTCCTTCGCCACCCCAGCTGCACGCGCCCTCTCAGCATGTCAAATACTGACGTGCAGATCTTAGCGGGGGCCATGTCTTGCACGCTTGCTGCCAACTCTGGCGGCTTGGTCTCGCCCGAACAGAAGTGTGTCGCTGGCAGAGACATGCTCACCAACGCTTTGGAGGCGGAGGGGTGGGGAATCGAACAACACGTCCTTGACAGAAAGAATGCTTGCCTGTTCCTCACTGACTTTTTTGTGGCCTTCCCCTCATTGGCGATCCCGTGGATGCTGCGCGTGCTCATCATCATGAATGTGTGCCCCTATGGTTGCAAGTTTTTCAGGCTTCTTTACACATCTAACACTGCCATTATCTGCTATGGAGGGAGGACCCATGGAGAGCTTGTCATGGCGAGTGGGGTAGAACAGGGATGTCCGAGTAGTATGCTTCTATTCGTTCTTGCTGCTGACCCCCTTCTCCGATGGGTACGTTTCAAGGCTTCAGCTCACATCGACAGGGCGTTCGCCTATGCCGATGATTTCTGTCTCGGCATCTTTGACGTCTTCCGTTCCCTGGGCCCTCTCCTCGCCTTGCTCACGCGGCTCGAAAAAGACTCGCGAGTCTTCGGTTCAACTTCAAAAAGTGTCAGATCTTGGTCGTGGGCTCC